CACAGATGGAGTTTGGGAGAAATAGACATTGACATTTGGGAGTTGTAGTTACTGGGATTTATAGTTCACCTACAATCACAGAGCATTCTGAACCCCACCAGCAACAGAATTGGGCCAAACCTCCCACATAGAACCCCCATGTGGGCCATAGCAAAGCGTGGCAGGGGACAGCTAGTTTTATACAAAGGATGGATTGGAGGTTGTGTGTGAAGTAAGATAATGTTTATTTGAACCAGTTGAATTTCCTTTCCCCTGGTTGCCACTGTATGAAAGGAAACTCTATGATCTTCTGTAGCCTTATACTTAATCCAGAATTTGAATGCCTTTACTTTACTAAATAGATATTACATGTGATTTCTATAATGTTGTTGTTGTTCATTCGTTCATTCGTCTCCGACTCTTCGTGACCTCATGGACCAGTCCACGCCAGAGCTCCCTGTCGGCCGTCACCACCCCCAGCTCCTTCAAGGTCAGTCCAGTCACTTCAAGGATGCCATCCATCCATCTTGCCCTTGGTCGGCCCCTCTTCCTTTTGCCCTTCCACTTTCCCCAGCATAATTGTCTTCTCTAAGCTTTCCTTTCTTCTCATGATGTGGCCAAAGTACTTCATTTTGCCTCTACTATCCTTCCCTCCAATGAGCAGTCGGGCTTTATTTCCTGGAAGATGGACTGGTTGGATCTTCTCGCGGTCCAAGGCACTCTCAGAACTTTCCTCCAGCACCACAGCTCAAAAGCATCTATCTTCCTTCGCTCAGCCTTCCCTACGGTCCAGCTCTCACATCCGTAGGTTACTACAGGGAATACCATGGCTTTGACTAGGCGGATCTTTGTTGCCAGTCTGGTGTCTCTACTCTTTACTATTTTATCGAGACTGGACATTGCTCTCCTCCCAAGAAGTAAGCGTCTTCTGATTTCCTGGCCACAGTCTGCATCTGCAGTAATCTTTGCACCTAGAAATACAAAGTCTGTCACGGCCTCCACATTTTCTCCCTCTATTTCCCAGTTGTCAATCATTCTTGTTGCCATAATCTTGTTTTTTTTTATGTTTAGCTGCAACCCAGCTTTTGCGCTTTCTTCTTTCACCTTGATTAGAAGGCTCCTCAGCTCCTCCTCGCTTTCGGCCATCAGAGTGGTGTCATCTGCATATCTGAGGTTGTTAATGTTTCTTCCAGCAATTTTCACCCCAGCTTTGCATTCATCAAGCCCCGCACATCGTATGATGTGTTCTGCATACAAGTTAAAAAGGTTGGGTGAGAGTATGCAGCCTTGCCGTACGATTTCTATAATACATCTAACAATATGCCACTATGTCACTATCTATATCTAATCTTACTATTCTTACTATTATTTTACTGTATCTCTGTCATGACTACTATTATTTTACTTCTAATATATCTCCAATGTGACGTGGATTCTTGTGCTCTTTCTAACCCCTCTGCTACTTTCCAATATTAAACTCCAACCGATTTCCTAACTGTCAAAACTGCCATTCTAAAGCAGGCTTGAGCTCCTCCTCCCCCTTCCCTTATCCTTAAAGGCACAGGGAGAAGATTATAAATTCTGCCTCATTTTGTGGTGGTGGGCTGTGTTTCTAAAACCACAATTTCAGTGCATATGCAAATGTTCACCAAACTCAGTATGTTATCTGTCTGTGGTTAGCTGGTTTCTATTGGGAAGTTAAAGAAACTGTAGCACGTTGAAGATAGGCATTTCCAATGTTTGTCCCAAAATTGAACCAGCAAAGAGATCGGACATGCATTAACTAGTAAAGGATCTCAATTATGTTCCATATGTCTGCATATTCAGTTGAAGGTTATTGAAGTGGAGTTCTGTGTGTGATGTCATTGTGCATGGAAATGTATTTTGATTTGCCCCTGCAGTTGTGCAGTGTTGCTAATAATCATAAATGTTGATCATGCTATATAACTCAACACTGCAGCTCTGAATGTATAATTTCAGCTATAAGTAGGAGCTGCTTCACAAACTGTATGTTACAGTGACTAATTTCTATGTTTTCATTAACCACTGGATTCTTTCCTAGATGGTTCACATAATAACACAACCCTCTTACTCACAGTTAGGGTCTGTACTACTGCGTTATCATCTTGGAGTATTTTGTAAATGTGTGTTTTCAGGTTATTTCTGACATGGTGACCCCAAGGCAATCCTATCACAGGGCTTTCTTGGCAAGATTTGTTTAGAGAGGGGTTTGCTTTGGCCTTCTTCTGATCCTAAATCTATATAAATAAAAATGTAATGTTCGTTTGTGGGATTAACAGAACTCAAAAACCACTGGACGAATTGACACCAAATTTGGACACAAGATAACCTAACAACCCAATGTGTGTCCTTCACTCAAAAAAATTTGATTTTGTCATTTGGGAGTTGTAGTTGCTGGAATTTATAGTTCACTTACAATCAAAGAGCATTCTGAACCCCACCAACGATGGAATTGAACCAAACTTGGCATACAGTTCTCCCATGACCAACAGAAAATACTGGAAGTGTTTGGTGGGCAGTGTCCTTTGGTTTTGGAGTTGTAGTTCACCTACATCCAGAGATCACTGTGGACTCAAACAATGATGGATCTGGACCAAACTCTACACAAATACTCAATATGTTCAAATGTAAACACTGGTGGAGTTTGGGGGGAAATAGAATCTTGACATTTGGGAGTTGTGGTTGCTGGGATTTATGGTTCATCTACAATCACAGAGCATTCTGAACCCCACCAACGATAGAATTGGGCCAAACCTCCCACACAGAACCCCCATGTGGGCCACAGCAACATGTGGCAGGTAGCAAATAAAGGGGGTGTTTTGTGGCCGGGTTGGGACTCAACCCGTTCTCCAGAGCCCCAGTCCAACATCGAAACTACTACACCACACAAATATAGGTTGTGCAAACACACAGAGAAGGGTATGGGAAATGATTGTGCTGCTTGAATAATACAGCTTCAAGAGAGTTGAGAGCACCTCTTTTTTCTTAAACGGAAATGTGCATGGCAGTGACAGAATGCAGTCATGGAATACAATCAAGTCTTGCATAGCAGTAGATGAAAGTGCTCCTTGGTGAAGATCCAACCTGCCAGGTGATGTAAGAAGAGCACTGTGGGATTGGTTTACCTAGGTCCAAACTCCATTTCTAACCCTGGCCAACCTGTTAGCAGAGCATGATGACAATATTGCTTCTGCATTATTAAGCCCCAAATCTATGGCATTAACCTGCAGCTATGAACAGCGGAGGCAGTTTCTTGTTAAGTGTAAATGACTAGATAATTGTGTAAGCAGACTATACATCTGACATACAACTAAGAGTTAACACATGGAACAGAGGTATTTTCTTTGCCTGCAATGGACATGGTTGTAATTTTTTTTCCAAAGGTGACCACTTGTTATTCTTTACTGTTAAGTGATGGCCGAGTCTGATCAAACAGGGAAAGAACAAAGGTTCAGATGATGGGCTACCTTCACCTGCAGCTGGGAAAGATGACTTAGTAATGCATTTTCCAGTCCTCTTAGCATTTTCCAGTAACAATATATGAACTGGGCACACGAGGGAACCAGAAAGTGCACAATAGTGACTGTGACAGTGGCCAATGGGCACTGGAACAAGTTGAAGATTAATCCTGACAAGACAGAGGTCCTCCTGGTTGATCGTAAACCAGATCGAGGTATAGGGTGGCAACCTGTGCTGGATGGGGTTACACTCCCCCTGAAGTCACAGGTCCGCAGTCTGGGTGTCCTCCTGGATTCATCACTTACGTTTGAAGCGTTGGCGGTGGCCAGGAGGGCCTTTGCACAATTGAGACTCGTGCGCGAACTGCGACCGTACCTCGTGAAGGCGGATCTGGCCAAGGTGGCCCATGCCTTAGTCACCTCCAGATTGGACTACTGTAATGCACTCTACGTGGGGCTGCCCTTGAAAATTGCCCGGAAATTTCAGTTGTTTCAACAGACAGCGGCCAGGTTGTTAACTGGTGCTCCTTACAGGGAGAGGTCAATCCTCCTGTTTAAGGAGCTCCATTGGCTGCCGTTCATTTTCCGGGCCCAATTTAAGGTGCAGATGCTTACCTACAAAGCTCTAAACGGTTTGGGACCCATCTACCTGTGTGACCGCATTTCCGTATACGAACCCACACGATCTCTTCGTTCATCTGGAGAGGCCCTGCTCACGATCCCAYCTGCATCGCAAGCGCGATTGGTGGGAACGAGGGACAGGGCCTTCTCRGTGGTGGCCCCMCRACTCTGGAACTCCCTCCCCAAGGACATCAGGCATGCCCCAACRYTGGCAGTCTTTAGAAGGAGCTTGAAAACGTGGATGTTCCAGTGTGCCTTCCCAGAATAAGGAATCCMAAGCAATATGTCCCAAATGCACTTTACGAKAGATTTAGGATTGTCTGCACRCCCACCTATCCCTAAAATATCCATCCTATTTCACTTTGACATGCCCAGCATTTTTAAAATTTTAATCATTACATTTGGCCCTGACACAGGTTTTTAAATGCGTCGTGATATTATTGTTATTGTTTTGCTTTGTTTATGAGTTATTTACTGTTKTATTGTTGTCGTTGTGTTTTATTGTTGTATTTGGGCTCGGCCTCTTGTAAGCCGCACCGAGTCCTGTKGGAGATGGTAGCGGGGTATAAATAAAGGTTTTTATTATTATTATTATTATTATTATTATTATTATTATTATTTTCTGGCCTGCAGTAACAAACGAATGTCCTGTTACGTAAACAGACTAGTGAGTAGTGTAACTTGTTTATCTTACAAAATAGCTTCTCAAATGCTGGGAGAAAGTTGTATTTTGATAAGCAATCTTCAAGTCAAACAAGCTGGCAATCTAGACATCTCGATTCCAGGGTCTTGGATGTCCCAGTCCCACTTTGAAATGAGTAGACGCAGCCAATAATTTCCATGCAACCGCATGGCAATTAGAACCCTGGTCACAACCTCAGTGACATCTCAGTGCAGCCAGGACATTCTCCAGACAACAGGACCTTTATAATATGTTTATTATTGTTCTGTCATTGTTAAGTTGCTTTGGATTAAATGCCATTCACATAACGATATATAAAAATAATGTATACAAACTAGCACTCATGTAGGGTCCCCCTTACATGATTCAAGGCATTTTAAAAAACATAATAAGTTGCACACATTCAATTTTTTGTCCTGACAACGCCCTCTCCCTCCCCCCAGTATGATGAATCAGTGGGCAAAGTTCCAACGCTGATTGTATGCTGTGAATATTGTAGCTGCTTTTACATGATTGCAGGTAAGTAACAAGTAGCCAAAGTCTAAGCTTGGTCTTCTCGTTGGATGTGCTGTTTCAGGTCTGGAGCAGGATGAAAATGGAGGGAGGGAGTTGGCTTAGCATTGGTCTGTTTTTGAGAGATTTCCATCATCTCACTGAGATCAACCAGGAGCTTCGTTGTGCATGCAGGTCAGCACCTGCTGGATCATGCGCTTGGGGCTGCTGTGGGGCTTGCATGCTGGAGTAAAGGGGGCCAGGACTACAACAGAGCCACCGATCTTGGTGTAACAGTGTCCTCTGAAGTGGCAAATTGTTAGGTAGCTTGGGTTTGTGCAAAGAGGACAGTCCGATTACATCGGGAAGGTGTGATGATGTTCAACTGCAAGGGATGGCTAGAAAAGATTCTTCCTAAAGTGGTTTTGGAGTTTGCATAATCTTCTCCCACTAAAGTGGAAAGGAAAATATGATGATTTGTAAGGATTTGGAACCAGCTCATGGGGGAAGAGGGTGTGACAAATGTCTGGGGACAAGTGTCACTAAGGACAGAACACATGAAGACCAGAACACGAGAAATTACTTTTTGGACTAAAACTCTTGAATCTCCAGCCAATATGGACAATGTGGAAGTTCTCATTTAAAAAGTAGTTCCCAATTCTGGAAAGGACTGCATGCCTTTAAGTATAGTAGTGGCATGATGGTTGTTCCTTCAGACAATCTGGCTCCATTTGAATTTTGTGCAGAAATGTCTTCAGATGGTGACAGTGCAATGGCCAACTGAATTTCTATTGAAGAGCAATCATGGAAGTTACAGTGTACAAGGTCTAACTGACTTAGTTATCACCTTCACTCTCCATTTTGACCTGATTGTAGAAGAGTGTTTAATAAGGTAGATTTGAAAGGGGCAAGTGGCGGGAAGGGATCTAATGCCCTTGGAAATTCTGCCTGGAGGAGAAAAAGCACTGGTGAAAATCCACAGAAAACTGTGGCAAGAAAAAGAACAGCAGCTCCAATACTCAGTTTGATTGTCACAAAACCACTCTGAGCTTGTTTGCATCAGAGGAAGTGGGTTTAAAAAGTGCCAAAGGGAACTCTGTGCTAAAACCTTAAATCCTGAGATGCTGTTCCACTGACCAGGCCTTCTTTCCTAGAGCTCATCATTGTGCTAATTATTTTAGGGAATGTCTGGTCCCGAGAAACTCAAGTCTCATGTAGCCCTTCAGCTGCTGTTGGACTATATCTGCCATCAACTCCAGCCAACCAAGCCAACGAGGGATCTTGGGAGTGTTCGTACAATGTATTAGGAGGGGCACAAATTATCTTCCCTACCATCAGACGTTGGATCGTTCTTCCATTACGCTACATTCAGATTTGTGCAGAAAACTTTGAGGGCAGAAGGATGGACAATGCCATCATTTGATTAATTTTTTGAAGTGGTCCACATCCAATTATTAGCAGTGACATAATTACTATCTGCTTTAGTTTGTAAATACAAACAGTTTGGACAAGTTAGGTTTGGGAATTCTAACTTGCACAATTTTCCAAACAGAATCCCTAGCTACCTGGGGATTATTGGAGCCACAATTTTTTTTAAAAAACAGCTGCATGTGGCCATAATATTGGGCAAATCTAGACTTCATCAACATAGAGGACAGAACAAGAAGTCAATTTACTGCCTTCCCTATTTCCTTCCTCTCTTTTCTGCCATCTACTACCACAACGGCACTGCTATTTATTTAGGACACACAATCAGAAAAGTCCAGCTTTGAGGGAAACAGCAGGCCTGGCCTATATGTGAGTGCGTTGACCAAAAACGTGGCAAAGGGAGAGAAGCCACAGAAGTCGACACACTGTATCATAATCAGAATACTGTCAGGAGTTTGGTGGGTTCAGAGTGCTGAAATTGTTCTTACATTTCCAAGGAAGATATCTGAAAAAGTGCTGGAGTTGGAGGCTGTTCTGCACAGCATGCTTTCCATCACCTAGGAATAACCCAGCGTCTGCTTGGACCTATTAGATAGGTAGCCCCCATTGCACCCCTTTTGCATGGCTTAAGTGTTCCTTAAGAGACACATTCTTGGGTTAATAACCCTTTTTGAGTGCTCCTATTGAGAAGCAGCACTGTTCATGGTAAGTGGTGGCTGAGAGGAGATACTTCTTCAAACTCCACATTACCCCTTCTGCAATCCAGAAAGGGAAAAAATGGAGGATTAAAGCAGAACAAAATGCCTTGAATATAAACATAGCAGGCAAAGGAACTAGATCAGGCTAGATGGAAAGGAGACCAGGGAGTAGGAATCCAGACTTTTGTGCCACTTGCTGCCTTTTCAGGGAAGGAAGAAACCACAATGACTCCATGGCTGCAGAAGGTGGTTCTTATTGGTTGGTTTGCTGCTGTGGCTGTGGAGTCATCGTCAAGCACCATTCGCTGTCCCTGCAGTGCAGAGTGAGACTTTCCCCACTGGCAGAATTCCACCATGGGGCAGGCAAACACAAGCAAGAAAGGCCTTCTGAGTTCCAAGTGAAGCAGCGGGCAGTGCCTGCATGTGCAAAGTCCCACAGATGGCTTTAAAAGCTGAAAGAAGAGGGGAAATCTGCCCTGAGCCCTCTGTTTTTTTTTCTGGAGGCAGGAGGGGGTTTAGGTCCAGGCCTGTTGGCAATAAACCCCCACACTCTTGCCTCTCCCTGCAAACCAAGGCCTGGCTAGTCTGCTGTTCCTATCCGTGGCTGTCACAGAGAGATGTCAGATGTCACCTGCAGCGTCTGCCCAACAATCCGTTTCCTGCCACTGTGCCGCCCAGTGTCCCCTCGCCGGTATGGCTGGTTCCGCAGGCCTGCCAAAGAAAGGTCTAGTTACAAAAAAATGCATTTAAAATACACACAGCCCTGTCTCTATGGGATCTGCAGTGCATTGTCCCTCAGTCACAGTCCGAGGTTCAAAGCGCTATGCCACACTTTATGAATTCTGAATTCCTTCCCTCTCCGTTTCCTACCTATCTTTGTTTCTCTTTCTTACTTTTCTTCTTTCCCTGTTTCCTACCTACCTACCTTTCTTCCTTCCCTCTCTTTTTCCTTCCTTTTTCTTCCCTTTTTTCCTTTTCTCCTTTCTTCCTCCTTCCCTCCTTTCCCTTTTTCTTTCCTTCTCTCCTACTTTCCTTCCTTTACCCCTTCCTTCCAGACCTTGGAATCCCTGCCTACATATCTAAACAGAGGACACTCCAATTCACCTGAAACACGTCTGATTTCACTTCCCAGGGGGTGCCTTTAGGAGGCAGAACATGTGAGGAATGTAGTAAGGAAGGAGCAGGTACACAACAACAGCAGCAATGATAGGAGGAGGTGGAAGAAGAAGAGGCAGAGACCTCTTCCTCCTCTCCTTGGATCCCTTAACCTTTGTATCTCTCCAGGACATTCTCATAGGCCTGAATGAACTCCTTCTCCCGGAAGCAGGGCAGGGGCAGCTGGCCAGGAATGTAGCCAGCCATAGCTTCCCCAACAAGAAAGAGGGAAGGGAGGGTGGGCATGAATGGGACAGTGGAGAAGCAGGTGGGCACAACTAACAGGGCTGGGCAAATGACCTTGGTGGGCCAAATCTATCCCAAGGGCCCTACATTGAGATCCCCTGAACTAAAACATTTAGAACATACACTTTGGAAATTATGGAAAAGAATTTGTATCCCAGAGACTGAACAAATATCCCTTTCATGCCATCTTCCTGAGTACTACCTTAACAGTAAGCAAGACAGCCTGTCAGAAACCACTACTCCCTCTTCAGTGGAACAGGATGTAGGCTTAAAGAGCCATTGGGTGGCAGGGGAACACTAAGTTATACGAGGGGTATTTTTTAAGTAAGGTCCGTTTTGTTGTAGACACTAGTAGTTCGCGTGCATACCGCAACGAACACGTGCATCGTGTACCGGCATGCCTCGGGAACAACTGTGCTCAGTTTCTGCTCTGTAGCTAACCTGTACGGTTCTGTTCTGTGCTTTAAAAATGTTTAAGACTATCAACTCACCCTCCGCATGTGAGGTTCGCTCAGTGATAAGGTTTTTGTCAGCAAGGAACCTGCCTGCTGCAGAAATTCATCGACAGATTTGTGAAGTGTACGGTGATACTGTTATGAGTGAAAGCAAAGTGCGTAAGTGGGTACGACAATTCAAAGATGGCTGTGACAACGTCCATGATGAGGACCGCTCCGGTCGCCCTTCTTTGATTACAGTGAACTCTTGGTTATCGGAGCAGGCGGCAAGTTTTTATGAAGAGGGTATTTTAAAATTGGTTCAGAGGTATGATAAGTGTTTGAACAAACTTGGCAACTATGTCGAAAAATAGAGTGAAGTATGTACTTTATGAAAATAAATTTACTTTTTTGAAATAAACTTTTGTTGTGTACTTATGTTCAAACGGACCTTACTTAAAAAATACCCCTCGTATATTCCCAGTCGGATCTACCCTAGGCACTTTCCCCCCTCTCCCAGTGGGATTGCTGTGAGGATTAAGAAAGGGAAATGAGGTACTTCATTCCATATCCTGGGAGTAGTAAGTATTGTAGGTGACTGCCGTGAGTTTTGTTTCATTTTCATATATCAGAATAAAATTGTTGTTTTTCAAAAAAATATATAAGTTGGATTTTCTTGGAGTTGTTACTGAAAATGGACAGGTTGCTTACCTATAGCTGTGATTCTTCAAGCAGTCGTCTGTGAAATCATACAAATGGCTTATCCTGCTCATTATTATTTGTGTAATTCACAGAGACTTCAAAGAAGAATTCTAGTTACTTTTAAAAGATAGTTTGGAAGGGTAAATCTTCCGGCCGGCAGCGGAGCGGAGAGGTCGCATACCATCAAGCCTCGGCTGATTTATTGAGACAGTTGGGAGATAACACTACATCATTTTGTTATCCATCCTAATACTTTTAAAAAGAAACGATCCCAACAATAATGAAAAACAAAAAGACTGGTAATAATAAGAATGGGTCACTTTTTGAAAGAACATTCCAAGGTCTGTTCCCCTCCACCCTGAAGTAGCTTGAAAAAGCGTTGGTGGTACCAATGAAAGACACTGGTTGGCACAAGGATGAATCTACATTGACAGGGCTAACCACATGCCTCTGCCAACCCACACCTCCCCTACCTGCCCAGCAAGTAGGGCCCTGCCCATAATACCTAGAGCCATAAGCTACAGGGGGCTCTCTTCATTGAAGCTGGCATCGCAGAAGAGGCGCGAGGAGCGTTTGCCCGTCCGAGCAGTGAAAGGAACAGTCTTCAGAGCTGAAGCAAAAACAGTTGCAGGAAACCCCAAGGAGAATAAGAAATGGGGAAAGGAGAGAAAAAGAAAGAGCAATAGGCAAGCAAAGTCCCAGAACCGACAAGCAAGTTTCCTCTTCAAGAATACAAAGACTATCTCTAATAGCAGATTTGCTCTATGCACACTTACACCAGGCTTTGTGCCACAGTAAGAATGGGAATCATGTAGCCCTCCAGATTTTGGACTGGAACTCCCATTGATGTTGTCAGGTGAAGAATGTTGGGAGCTGCAGTCCATCCAAATCTGAAAGGCCCCATGACCTTCATCTTGGCCCCAAACAATTCGGGGGCCTGCAGTTAAGTCTCAAAAGCCTATCAGATTTTCAGCTTATTTCCTCACTCTCCACTGGTGAGGTGAATCCATGTTTCAGAATAGGTTTTAAAGGTGCTCTCCAGGGTCCTGATCTCTGTTCCTAAATAGATTCAGCTCCTTGAAGAGCTTCTTTAAAACTATTCAACACATGGAGTGAATAAAAGTACCAGGTACAAAACTAATTCTTAAGAAGCTATAAAAGCAGATTAGGTTTCTGAGTTTTGAGAATCTTGTCAAGAAAAAAACAGAGTGGCTTAAGAAACTAGCAGGGAAATGTGCATTTGCGAAAACCCGCCAAAGTAAATTAATGGGCAATGACAGAAACATCCTTCTTTGTACATGAGTATATGTGTGTCATTCATAAAATTTCACAAGTCCATAAGGAGATAATGCTGAATAACGTAGAACCATGGTGGGGAAGGCGAAAAGAAGGGGTCCCTGAAAATTGGATAATGTACTTCCATGACTAGAGCTCTTCTTGTGGAAGTTCTACTTGATTTGATGGGATTTTCCCAAAGCTGCCCAAAACCCAGTCCATTCTACAGACTCGTATGACCCAGATGTTTTTGACCTACAACTCCCAGAAATCCCAGCCAATTTACCAGCTGTTGGGATTTCTGGGAGTTGAAGGCCAAAAACATCTGGGGACCCCAGGTTGAGAACCACTGCTTTAAGGGGAATTTTCAGGAATCTACAGGAGTTTACCTAGAAAAGTACAGGAGGGGATCTTCTACACCCGTAATGTCTACATGTCTAAATCTGGATATAGCCAACTCGACCATTAATATTAATTAAGATATTAATATTAACTTATTAATATCTGTGATCAACAAGTGTGTTTCTGAGCAGAAAAATGAACGAAAAATGCTTGGGAATGCATGGCTTATTTTCACTGGTTGGACGTGGCAGAGGACCACTTTTCCTGAACAGCCACATTCCCAGCAACACCCACTTCATCTTCCACATCATCCTGTACAGAAGGCCCATCCTGACTTGACAGACTACTGGTGAAACCAATTGCTTCCCTAATTCTTACCCGTAATAATATCCTCAATGGCTCCATCCTTTTCCTCATAAATGAGAGGCTCTTTCACCATCTGCTTCTTCTTCAGTTCAGCAATGAGGTCCATCTGCTGCCGCTTGGCCTTATGGGTGGGAGACTGCCAAAACAGACAAGCAGTTGCTGTGGTTACGCACTAAGGCACATTGATGCATACACACCACCACTACCATCACCACCCTTTTCCAAATCAATCCAAGCATGAGGCTGCTGTCCAAGGTGCTGAATAAATAAGGGATACTGCTGTTGTTGGTCATCCATCATTTCATTTATTAACTAGAATTTAAAGAACCTGTTAATTCACGAAGATCTTGGTCCATAGAGAAAAGTATTTTTTTAATCTAAGACAAATAGGAATCAAGGAGAACAACCCACATAAAAACATAAAAAGCAATAATTTACAAATTAAAAGGAACTCTGATCAGTTTATTTTGGAGAGTCACTTTGAGAAAGCAAAGGAGAGAGCCCTCACATTCCATCCACCAAAAAGGCTTACTATAAACCCTTTCCCCCCAGACCTCAGCTTGAAAAAAGGTTACAACCTTCTATTTTATAACACTGTATGTCATATCATAACAGTTCAGATACTAAATAAGATTCAAAGCATGATTATACATCATGCCTGTCCTGCAAAATGGCTAGAAAATCAATACCTCTTTTATTCATCTGTATTTCATGTGCCGTCCTTTCTCTAAAGACCTACAGCTGCTGTCAGAACTAAGGCACGGGAATAAATCCAGCAAGCGTTATTATTGGATTCGGCTTATTGTCCAAATTTAGATTTAGTGCTTGGCACAAACTTCAGTTGCAAACTATGCTCTATTATGGAATTCTAGGACTCTCTTGATGCTGACAAAAGGGAGGAAAAGAGAATTCTTCTGGAGCGTAATGAGAAAGACTCACCTTTGGTGCTACCTGCTCCTCTTTCTTGGAGGAGTCCATCTCCTCTTCTTTGGCAGCTGCTTCCTGCTTTTTCCATAATTGGATATCGTCCTCTGCTTTCTTTTTATGATGTAGAAAGGAAGAGAAATAAATCACTTTAAACAACAGAAGTATCATATGAAGCTGTAACATTACACTTTTATTTATTTATTTATATTTATAATTCAAACTAATATGCCGCCACTCCCCTGGGACTCGGAGCGGCTTACAAGAACAGGCTAAAATCTAACACAATTTAAAAACAATTTAAAACAATTTAAAAACAATTTAATACAACAATGTCAGAAATCAAAGCCCTGTCGAAACAGGTATGTCTTACATGCCCTGCGGAAAGCTGATAGGTCCCGCAAGGCACGGACTTCAGGTGGCAGAGTATTCCAGAGTGATGGTGCCACTGCTGTAAAGGCTCTGTGTCTGGTTGCTGTTAGACACAAGGTCTTGACACTGGGAATTTCCAATAGATCTTGGTCCTCAGAACGGAGGGATTTCTGGTGTTGGTAGGGGGTGAGGCGGTCCCTCAGGTACATCAGCCCCAGACCATGCAAGGCCTTAAAGGTGAGTACCATCACTTTGAAAGTGATCCGGTGCTCAATTGGTAACCAATGCAGCTGTAGTAAGATTGGTGTTATGTGGCATCCGGTGCTCAATTGGTAACCAATGCAGCTGTACTAATTGGTGTTATGTGGCATCTCATCGGAATTCCCGCAAGAAGCCAAGCAGCTGCATTTTGTACCAACTTGAGCTTTCGGATCACCAACAGAGGATCACCGACTTTACCTGACAACATAGGTTTTCCCTTACTGGTCTGCCTTCTTGAAAATTCAGCTCATAGAACATGTGTTTTCTCAACCTTTGTCCAAGACCTTTAATGTGTTATTAATAGGCATTCAAGTACAACAACGACAACAACAACAATAATGTCAAAGGCTTTCATGGCCGGAATCACTGGGTTGTGGGTTTTTTTCGGGGTATATGGCCATGTTCTGGAGGCATTCTCTCCTGACGTTTCACCTGCATCTATGGCAAGCATCTTCAGAGGTACCTCACTACCTTTGAGGATGCTTTCCATAGATGTAGTCAAAACGTCAGGAGAGAATGCCTCTAGAACATGGCCATGTAGCCCGAAAAAACCTACAACAACCCAATAATAATAATAATAATCTTTATTTATACCCCGCCACCATCTCCCCAAAGAGGACTTGGAGAGGCTAACATGAGGCCAAGCCCAAAATTACAACAAAATAAAATACAGACACAGCAAAATAAAATACAAAGAAGCAAAAATACCATCAAAATAAATATATAACATAACAACATAAAATAAAAAGTTCCAAAATGACATGAAAGAGAAATGTAACACAGTGGGAGGACCAAATGTACTAGAAATAAAATGACAAAAATTGATAAAATCCTGGGTGAAAAAGATAGAATATGTTTCTGAGGTGGGAACTCAAAAGGGCCAACAGCGGGGTTAAACCTCCATTAGGGGCAGGGAGAAAGTGCATCCTGAGGACAGAGCAGTAGCTGGGACAGACTAAAAGTGGAAAATATATTCATTCGCCAAAGGCACATCGGAAGGGACAGGTTTTTAGGTATTTCTTAAAAGCTGCCAAGGTGGGGGCTTGCCTAATCTCTCTCTTCTGCTGTACTTTTCTCTCCAACTGACATTACTCATATACTGTGGATTACTTGGGAGGTCCTGGTATCCTTAACTGGCAGCTTTGAGATATACCTTTTTTCATTTAAAGATAATTAATATAGTTCTGCATATTCTGAGAACCTCACAACTATGCAGCAAGAAGTACCTTAATAGATGTCCTGTTTTGCTTTCAAAATGATAAGCACGGTTTCATATTAGAAGTACAGTAATTAACTTGCCAATGTTGAGTGTGTATAAAATTACTGGGGTTGGAAATAAAGGATAAAGATCTTGGAACAATCAAACCTTGTGAACTAATATTATGGGAAAGAAACTTTGCATATTCAGTACCTAGAATTCAAGACATAATGTAGCCTGCTATTGCCACTAACAGGGCCAATATTAGTGATGGGGATATATTTCTTTTCCCCTTATAGGCAATCACACCTTGCTTCCCTACAGCAATACCTAGGACAAGCTACTTTCTTCATTTAATTAAGTTTATCAACATTGAATCCTAGCCACATAAGACTATCCAAGAAATGTGAGGGGATCTTATCTAACTAAGAAGGGGACAATATATCTCAGTCCAATAATTCAGTAACTGGAGCAGTCTGAAAAATATGGAAAAGAAATCAAAGGACTCAGGCACACATCCCTGGCCATTTGAACTGCAATACACAATAACCAACAAGGAGGATTAACAGGTGGAATGAAGAAAGGTGAAGTCTAGAAAGGGACACTAGTGGGAGGAAAGTCTGACAATATCCTGCAATTTTATAAAAGCTGGATTTTCATCTAGAGTGGCAGCATAAGTCACAGAATGTCATAACCAAATGTTATATTTTTTGTGCATGTCAGGAGCGACTAGAAAAACTGCAAGTTGCATCTGGTGTGAGAGAATTGGCTGTCTGCAAGGACGTTGCCCAGGGGACGCCCAGATGTTTTCTTTTAGGTTTAACCATCCTTGTGGGAGGCTTCTCTCCCCGCATGGGGAGCTGGAGCTGACAGATGGAGGTCATCCACGCTCTCCCTGGATTCGAACCTGCGACCTGTCGGTCTTCAGTCCTGCTGGCACAAGAATTTAACCCATTGCGCCACCGGGGGCTCCAATGTTAAAAGTAACCGAGGTGGAAGTAAAATCAGTGTTATTCTACTTCTAATTAAGTTCCTGTGTGAAATTTGACTGGTTCTGTGCAAATGACCCATAGTTGCCCTTTTCAGATTTTTTTTTTTTGTCGTGTCAGGAGCGACGTGAGAAACTGCAAGTCGCTTTTGGTGTGAGAGAATTGGCCGTCTGCAAGGACATTGCCCAGGGGACGCCTGGATGATTTGATATTTTTATCATCCTTGTGGGAGGCTTCTCTCATGTCCCCTTTCAGATTATAAAAACATTTATAAATTTTCAGATTATAAAAATACTGTATTTCTTCAATTCTAAAACATGTTTTTCCAGTATAAACATCTCAAAAAATGGTCTTAGAATTGCAGGTGTATCTTATAAATTTTGGTGGTGGTGATACTGAAATTAGGGTGCGTCTTACAATTGACCGCATCCTACAATTGAAGAAATACAGTAGTAAGATTTGTTTGATGGAGGTGTTCCTCTCTGCCCCAGTCAACTTCACTGCACCATTCTTAACAATATGCTTGTGAAACAGACCATCTTTCATATCTTCCTGTGGAAAATATAAGATTGGGACAAAGTGTTTCTTAAGGGAACCTTTACGCTGCAATCATCTTGTCTCACAATATGGGATGACTCTACTACGGAAATGATGAAATAGTTGTAAATTTTGATTGGTAGTACTTTGGGCTTGCAGTGCTAATAGCGGATACTAAAAAAGGCTCATATAAGATTTTAATTCCCATAGGCTTCTTACCTTGTATGCCTTAATGAAGCGCACAAACATGGGGAAGAACATGGTTGGAGGAGTGGTCTTGGGATTTTCTCCGAAGTATTCTACTGTTGCCTCATAGGCCTCCTACAGAGTAAGACAGTAACAAACCCAAAGTCACACTCACCAGAATGAGAATACCAGGGTCACAAATGCAATGCTTTTTTATCTTTTTTTGTGGGGGAGGGGTATGATGTAAGGCTGATTTTAAGGCTACACTGGGTGCCGTTCATTTTCCGGTCCCAATTCAAGGCGCAGGTTATTACCTATAAAGCCCTAAATCAGTGGTTCTCAACCTTTCTAATGCCGCGACCCCTTAATACAGTTCTTCATGTTGTGGTGACCCCCAACCATAATATTATTTTTGTTGCTACTTCAGAACTATAATTTTGCTACTGTTATGAATCATAATATAAATATCTGATATGCAGGATGTATTTTCATTCACTGGACCAAACTGGGCACAAATACATGAATACTGGTGGGGTTGGCAGGGAATTGATGTTGTCATTTGGGAGTTGTAGTTGGTAGGATTTATAGTTTACCTACAATCAAGGAGCATTATGAACTCCAACAATGGAATTGAACCAGTCTTGCCACACAGAACTCCCTTGACCAACAGAAAATACTGGAAGGGTTTGGTGGGCATTGACCTTGAGGTTTGGAGTTGTAGTTTACCTACATTCAGAGAGCACTATGGACTCACACAATGATGGATCTGAACCAAACTTGCCATGAATACTCAACATGCCCAATGTGAATGAACACTGGTGGAGTTTGGGGAAAATAGACCTTGGCATTTGAGAGTTTTAGGTCCTGGGATTTATAGTTCACCTACAATAAAAGATCATTCTGATCCACACCAATGATAGAATTGGGCCAAACTTCCCACATGGAACCCCTATGATCAACAGAAAATACTATGTTTTTGGATGGTCTTTGGCGACCCCTCTGAAACCCCCTTGTGACCCCCAGGTTGAGAACCACTGCCCTAAATGATTTGGGACCCGCCTATCTTCGTGATCGCATCTCCTACCACCAACCTGCACGATCCCTCCGATCCTCTGGGGAGGCCCTCCTTTCACCTCTTCCTCTATCACAGGCAGATTTGTGGGAACGAGGGAGAAAGCCTTCTCTGCTGTGGCTCCCTGACTTTGGAACTCACTACCTGGTGAGATTAGGCAAGCCCCCTCCTTAGCAGCCTTCAAGGAAAACTTGAAAACTTGGTTCTTCCAATGAGCATTTGGAGCATGACCATTTATCCCATTTCTGTTTGCTCCCTCTATAGTATTGCCCCTATGATGCACTTCCCCCCGTCCTAAACCGAAAGCCTACCCCACTGTTTATCCTTTTTGGGCTCCCCTCAGTTACATGTTTTCTATTCCTACCTCATCCAGGATTTTATCATTTTACCTCGTCCATTTGGCCTGCCCATTCTGTTCATTTTTATATTGTTTTAACTTGCTTTATTTATTTTATTTTGCTACTGTATGTATTTTATTCTGATGTAATTTTTTGTTGTTTGTATTCTGTATTTTATTTTGCTGTATTGTATCCTTGGGCTTGGCCTCATGTTAGCCACCCCAAGTGCCCTTTGGGGAGATGGTGGCAGGGTATAAATAACGTTTATATTATTATTATTATTATTATTATTATTATTATTATTATTATTATTATTGATCAGTTTAATTGTTTTTACCAAGTAAAAGTAAGCAATCTCATTGTTTCAAATAATGTCTGACTTGCAGTAATTCTAAGGTGAACCTCTCAAAGCATGGATTGTTTAAAGAGGAAATACATTTGCTTTCCTCAGAGTCTGAAAGTTACCCAGTGGGCTTCCAAGGCCAAGAAGGATTCAAATGCTAATCCCTAGAGTCCTAGTTCAACATTCAAGCTGCAACCCAATGCTGGCTTTCTTGTGTGGACCCTAAAATACTAACAAGGCATAGTTCTTATGTGGCCCATGAAGCATAAAGCATTACCTCCAGCTGGCAGGGCAACAGGCATTGATGAAAAGTTAAAAAGTTAGAACATAGCATTACATGGAAATACATGTATACAAACACAGCATCTGGCCACTTAAACAGTTGTGCAAAATAAATACAGGAACCAGACCCAATACTCATTATGACACAGTTCCATCCTTCACTTGTCTTGTTTTGAAATGTTGAGAGAAGAGGAACTAATGACCATTGCCAATTTTAATCAACATTTGTTTCCAAAAAATAACAAGAATATAGGCACGTGAGAGGGAAATATAATGAATGTTAGGTCTGTTAGTGGGACAGTCCAAGCCAATCTGTGGATTCATTGATTCTAACCAAACACTCTGGGACCTAAACTATTTTCTGGAGAATAGGAAAATAGGAAATGCGGGATGATCCTGTTTTAAACCCAGTCTCCTTCTGTATTTCCCACTTCCCATGGCAATCCCTTCTGGATCAAGATGCTGCCACCTCCTCCTTTTCCTCCTCCTTTCCTCTTTCTCCTCACCTGTGCAGTTTTACTGTCTGCTTGGAGCTTCTCCATCACCTCTGTGTTGGCCTTCAGGAAATCCTTGAGCACAGCACTATCATCTTGGCGCAGGAACTCTTTACGCGTGAGCTCCATTCCCCGCTGTAGGCCTCTCACATCTTGCAATACACTGTCTAGTGATACTGTGAGGAAGGAAGGAAGACATTAAGCACTACAGCTGCCTCCAGTTAATTTATTTCCCTTGGGAGAAGAAGCAGCGCTCCCATCTCTCACCATGAAGGAGACTCACTGCTCTCCTCTAGAACCCTTCAAACCAGCTACACACCTGTCGCTGCTTTGTCTAGGAAATGCAGTTCACTGGAGAAATTTATGAGGTCAGGATATTTCTCCTCAATCACCCGCACTATGTAATGGAGTAGCGTCTGTTTCCGATCTGTTGATTTCATATCCAGGAGCTGTTCAGAGAAACAGAATCTAAATCATGAGAAATCCAAAGCTCCACTAACTGTTTCCTCTTGCTGACGGTATTAACAACCTGACCCCCAACACTGCTGATATGCCCCACTTCCCAACAAAAAAGCTTCTTTAAAACACATATAACACAGCCCAATGGCAACAAAAAATCTTTGGTGTCTTGGTTTTTAGGCCTGTTTCTGGGGATATTTGAGGTGCTAATTCAGAAAATTGCATTGGATAGACCATATCAGCTCTAGTTGCTTAGATATGGTCATTGTATGGGTGAGAGATGAAGACTGCTAGATGGCATATCTGAAAAACTTGAGCTGATAATGGGAAACTGGTGCAATTTTTGCAATCAGATATACCCAGAATCAGGTCTAATATTTGAATCACCAAAATGCGTGTTGGCCAGCATAATCCATAAATCAAACTTTAGAATGTATCTTTAAACTAAGTACTGGAAGCAAAAATAACATCAGCCCACGAGAAGGGTGTCTTCTTCATTATCTTGAGGGCATTAGCAGATCACACAAGACAAAAGCTATGCTCAGAAGCTTCAACTATATCAGCGATGTTGGTTAGAGTCACACTATAGTTTGATGCTTTTCTCAACCTTGAGTTTCACCACCATCCAAGCATTTTGGCCATACTGCCTGAGAATGGTGGAGAGACAATGTTGACACTGCCTTAAGAAACTTGGGTGGGGCAGGAGTTATTTTGTGATCAGAAAATTAACAAAAACAGCCAGTCCTCAAGTGAATATTGTTCAGTTATAGTTATGTAAAGCCCCATGAATGGAAACCAAAGCTCCCCTCCCCACCCATCCAATCCCGAACCTACTGCATCAAGGCTCTGCAACCGGAACCCATAGGCAGCTCCCCTTTTGCTACTGTTCAGGTAATTCCCAAAAGCAAGTACAATCTATGGAGAAAGAGAAAGGCAATCCAAATACATTGTACACAGTTAGATATACAAACTGAATCTATTGGATTTCTATAGAGTTAGGGAAGATGTGAAGCTGATATGAATTCTCTCATTTGAATGGATCACAAAACGGGGGAACATGACAGTTAAATATTTTTAAAACCAGATATGGTAGAAGATCTAGAACAATAATTAAAAATAAGATCTTTCTCATGTAAAAGGCAAGCTCACATGTGGCATCTGTCTCTAACCTGTCATTGCCTCTAGGGAAACAACAAAAGTACTCTGAACCAAATTGGGTATTTAGTATCCCCTAATCATGGGTGGCTAAACTGCCCAGACAGCAGGATGCACAGTGCGCAGTTATGATAAAAAGCAGGAATCCCCAAAGACCCAATGATGCCGTTTGGCTGCCTTGGACTGGCTGCCTTCTTTTCCACCAGCAATGCACTGTTTTTTATTCCTTGGCTCAATAAACTAGAACCAATATCATGTCAGTTGGAGCAGCTTAGTTAAAAACATGGATGATGCCCTGCATAATGCTGCTGCAAGATGAGATGATTAGACAAATCCATGGAGCGACCAATCTATTTGGCTGTAAAAGGGGATTGGACAAACCCAGGAGGATAAGGCAATCAGTGGCCATGCTGCTTATGAACTACCTCCAGAAGCAATCATACCTGTAAATACGAGCTGCTGGGGAACAATGGCTGAAAAGGGCGAATAACACCACTAACCCTTTTTGTAGACTTCCCAGTTGGCCACAATGTGATATTCTGTGCTTATAAAATTGCAATTCCTAAAATACTCATCAGAGCAGAGTAATCCAAGAAATCAGTCAATCAAAAAAGGAAAGGCTCCTGTGAGCGTAAATTTGTCCACAAAAGAAGAGTCACTTAACTATCAAAATCTGGAGGATACTACTGATCCAATGTTTTGGACTTCAACACAAGCTCTAGTTGCCAGAAAAGCTGCTTCCCCCTCCCAACCCAAATGACTGTGGGTACCAATCCTGATATTTAAATGACCTTACCTCGAGAATCTGCCGCAGTCTGGTAGAAGACTTGACTGACATTGAAGCAGCGATGACAGCATTCAGCTGCTGTAGATGGGAAAGTGAACAATAAAGACATTATCAGATCTATGGCTTGTATTTATATTAATTGATGTTAGGCACTTTTAAATTCTAGTAGTCTATGTTTTAGGATACATTTTTGTGCAATTATGTTTTATTACTGTAAGTATGTTTTATTTATTTGTATTTCTTATTATGTTAATTTCAATTCCTTTTTGGTAATACATTTTTTAATGTTCATTTTCTATTTTTAGACGGTTGTGTAATTTAAGCATGGCATTGGATGTTTGCTTGTTTTATATGTGTGTAAACCGCCCTGAGTTCTTACGGGGAGAGAGGGTGGTCTAGAAATAAATTATTATTATTATTATTATTATTATTATTATTATTATTATTATTTTATTGACACAAAAACACAGCATGTCACAGCAGATGAGATATATATGCTATCCTTTTACAGTTGACAGATCGTGATTTTGCCAATGTTTATTGTTTTCAAATGTCTGCTGAGATCTTTTGGCATGGCACCCAGTGTGCCGATGAACACTGGGAACACCTGTATTGGTTTATGCCAGAGGCTTTGCAGTTCGATTTTGAGGTCCTGATAACGGCTGAGTTTTTCCTGTTATTTTTCCTCAATGTGACTGTCACCCGGTATAGTGACATCAATAATCCAAACTTTTTTCTTTTCCACAATCGTGATGTCTGGTGTATTGTGTTCCAATACTTTGTCAGTCTGGATTCGAAAGTCCCACAATATTTTTGCATGTTCATTTCCCATCATCATCATCATCATCATTATCATCATCATCATCATCATTATCATCATCTCTTGCTTTGTTAGTTGCCTTTTACTTCCAGACCCAGATCCACCCTAACATCCTGGCACTGAGATTAACCTTGGTAGCACTTATTGTAAATTTGGAATTCTGATGTCAAGTTCACATTTTATGTCTTCCAACCAAATTTTCCTATGTAGTACAGTCAGAATCAGAATTTGAGAACGAATGGTATGGGTGACCAAAGCAATGACCCAAGATTAAGATTAGGAATAGGAGATACATGCCCTGCCAGGTGTTTTCAGGCTGCAGCTCCCTTGATCCCTCACCTCTGGCTGAGCTGATGGGAACTGGAGGCCAACTTGAAAGGCCATGAGTTCCCTACTGTTGCATTTAATAACTTTAATTTCTACTTTCCGTTCATCAAGAAACTTTAGAGTTTTGAATAATCAAATTAAGAATTGATATTTTAACATGATGCAGCAATCATGAATTCTGGGAACTGGATTCCAAAACATTTGGTTGAGAAAAGTTTGGGAGGCTCTAAGCAAGCTGATAACTGTCTTTCACCTACTGAAGAACTTTGCTTAACATCACACATTATTAAAAATATGGTGTTTCACTATGTTGTATTATCTTTTATCTCTGTGTCACAGACGAATTCAGCATAGTTTCCTAGCATATATACGAATATTGCTCCTCATCCTAGTTGCTATTTATTTGCCTGTTTCAGTCCCTTACCGGCAGAAGGAGCTGTACAGTGTCTCCAAAGTTGCCTAAGAAGGTCATGATGTTCATGCGCTCAGTGAGTCGGGGGATCTTGCTGAACTTGATCATGAACTGGTCCTCATCTGAGAGGTCATCCAGTGGCCGTTGCTCCTTCTCATACTTGCGGATTGTTGTGAGCTCATATTCCGTGGGAATGAAGCGCATCAGCAACTCCAGAAAATCAAGGCTGAGGGACTGTAGGTCATATCTGAATGGGAGTAAAGCAGGCCAGAGGACAAATCAGTTGGGTGGCAGAGGATTGCAAGGTTTTCTTAATTGCTCCCCTGTAACTATCTCTTTTCATATCTGATACTATTTGAATACCAACTTTTTGGCTGTTTTTAACTACATGCACTTTTATTGTAATGCTCTCTATTTTGTAAGCCGTCTTGTGTCCCAGTTTGGAAAAGCAATCTCTCTTCCCTGTGTCACAAGGGGGAAACAAGAGCAGCTTTAATTTTGTAGCAGAATCTAAAGTAATACTTCAAAGATTATTTATAGAGCTGCAATTAACCATTACATCAAAACAAACCGGACCAAAAAAAAATTAGTCTTAGTTTCAAGTGACAGGGGCAAGAAACAAGCGGATATGTGTCTGCATGCTGAGACTAGACATATTAGAGCTCAGCTCTTTTGTCAATAAAACATTGTTGGAGTATGCAAACAATCAGTGTGTGTGTGTGTGTGTGTGTGTGTGTGCCAACTTCAAAATAAGATGCATTAAGCTGATTGGTCGGGCAATGCACGGGGTCATGGCTGAGCCTGGGACTTTTGGATACTATTGCAATTTTGTTCAGGCTTGAGCTATGAAAGTGTTCAGAGAGAAGCAGGGAGAGAGATTGATTTACTTCTTGGCTGCTGAAAAGAAAGTCTCCCATATAGACAAAGAAATACCATTTTAAGTTCTCTCTGAAAGGGCATTTAGTGAGTTGATGCAATTGATAATATTGTACATATGTTGTTCTGAATTAAGAAGAGTAAACTATTGTTCACCTGCATGGCATATTTTCTTTCCCTGTCACGGCAGTGTGTGGGCTGATCAGATGTGAACTACACGTGGTTTATTTTACATTGTGCCACAACATGAGGGGGGACTGAAGCTTTGTGGTACAGCACATGCTTTGCACACAGAAGTCCTGGGTACAATTCATGGCTTCTCTACTTGAAAAAGATCTAAGGCTACTGAGAGCCAGATCTAAAATAAATTAACTGATGATCTGAGTACAAAACAGGTGGATTATCTTCAAAGCCTTTTCGCCAAGAGATGTAGTCATAATAATATGAGGTCCTGCCTAAACTGGAGTGGAGAAACGTTAATCCTTTAGATGTTTTGCGTCATTTGACTTCCTCAACTAGCACTGCTGGGAACTGTATTGATGAGAAAAAAATATTTCAGAGGCTGTTACTCACGTCTGAATGGCCTTGCAAATGCCATCGATGGGAAGCCCTCCCTTGCGGAGTGTGATAGCCAGGTTCTTTGCCCGGTTGCACTCAATCAGCGTCACTTTACTGGAGGCTTTCTGGGAGACTTTCACTTTTACAGCACCAAACTCTCGACTTGGGCCTTGTGCTCTCGTTTTGAACTGGTCCTCAAAGTGATTCATGTCCAACTCCTGTGACAAGAAGAAGTCAGAGATAACCATACTGGCCTGACAGGAAATGGGAATCAACAGAAAAAAAAGGAAGGACAGAACTCATCCCAAACTACCTGAAGGACTTTCTCATCATTGAGTTCATTGAAGACTGTTCCATTGACCTGGTTTGGCTTCAAAGCAACCCAGTTGAAGATAGGCATGCGGAATTTGGTCTGTATTGGCTTCTTGATCTTGACAGCTGACAAATGAAAAAGTCCGTGAGAGCTTGTGTACATCCATCCCAAATGAGAGACCCCCTTTCCCAATTTACCTACAATAAAGGGCCTTCTCACAGATTTGGGCATGGAGAAGAAAAAGTTAACAGCTATGGTCAATCTGACACTGACTAAGGTTGTAGTTGCCTAGCAATCATGGGTACCAAATCTAACTATTAGAAATCTTCACCCTTTGGATCCAGTAGAGTGGCTGAAATAATGCGGGATCACAACTAACAACAGCAGCAGCAGCAACTATGGAGGCCTGGATACAAATATGCAAACTTCAGAAACACCTCTCTCACTCTTGGCATAAAATATTTTACAGGATTTCTGTGAAGATAAAATCTGATACTATCCTCCCTTTCATGCAGCTGTGAGAGAAAGCATACTATAATCTCAGCAAGCATATAAGATTTAAGATTGTTTACATGCACATTTTAAACAGGTTTAAAAGAAGCTCGGCTCCTGAAAATGGCTTGAATTGGCCAATTACATACCCTGTTGGAGACAAATTTGTCACTATTTGTGTGCCTTCAAGTTGTTTGTGACCTATGACAATCCTAAAGCAAAGCTATCACAGGATTTTCTTGGTAAAATTTGTCTAAAACCCTGCTTCTTAAATGTGGCTCCCACCCCCTTAGCTCAATGTTGGGAGGTGCAGAACATTTTTGAATATCACCCATTTAAACAAATTAGTTAGCAATTATATGCAGTGTTTACAGTGGACTCTGCAGAAAATGCTTCAGCTCTACTACACAAAAAGGAAAATCAGCCTGTTGAAGAATGCTTATAATGCTGATTTTTACACTATGGGTGCTTCCAGACAGGGGTAAAATGCACACTGAAGCGGGTTTTAAAAATCCACTTCAACATGAGTTTTTGTCCCCACAAGGGCACCGAAACCCAGGCTTACCTGGGCAGGGTACCTAGATGCCATCCCAGTAATTACAGATATGGTACCCAGACATGCCATTAAGGTAGTACTGGAGTTCTCCTGGCATGTAGAAATGATGAACCAGGACACAGGGAGGGGGAGGAAAATTGCTCCTTCCCCCTCCTGGCACATCATTTCTATGCACCAGAAGGACTCCAGGACTACCTTAATGGCAGCTGGGTAAGTTGTTTAACATTTTACGAACTTATTTTTGTGGTTTTGGGGGAGAGGGTGGGTGCCCTCTTGGTTTTCGGGGCTCCTGGAGCCCGGAAAACCAAGATGACTGTGGATTCGGCCTGAGGATCATGTGACGTGGTCCACAGGTCCAATCCACACAGGGCCCACACCTAGTAAGGCTCAGATCTTACCTAAGATCCGGGTCTTAACAGGTATCGAATTAATTTGGAACGAAGCAGGGTTTCCCTGCTTTCTTCCAAATTAAATTCACTTTTATTGGAGGCGCCATTTGGACACCCCCAGTAAAAGCTCAACAGTCCCCACATTTTGGGGCCTGTCTGGAAGGGCTCTCAGTAACATGATTTTTATTCCTGGGTTATAAATGTCATTTTCTAATTGGGTCTATCTTTAAAACATCGGAAAGGATGATTAAACTGCAAAAACTTTGTTTTTGCGGGGCATCCTTGGGGGAATTTAACTACAGTTTTTCAATGAATATGTCATTGAGTCTCAGACAATTCAACCTAATTTGTGGCAGCCACAAAATGAAGTTTCTGGAGTAGAACAACTACTTTCAAAGCAAATAACTCACAATTAAACAGGAAATAACACTTTCAAACCAGGAACAATTTTTTTCAAATTTTGTTACATAGTGTTATCAGTAAATATTTGATTTTTATACCTAATTTATATACCCATATACCCAGTCACATAAACATTTCTCGGACAGAAAGGGGTAATGAGTGGAAAAGGTTTAAGTAGCCCTTGTTCTTAAACTGTGGGTCCAATGTTAGAGTTGTAAAAAAATTAGCAACAGTATTTTTTTTTTCTGAACAGTACCTAATGGCTGTTTCAGACATTTACACCAGTCCGTTGTTGGGGGTTTACAGTGGGCTCTGCAGAAGATGCTTCAGCTGTATTTCATAAAACTTTGCAAATGCTGATTTATTATCAGTGTTAGACTTCATATTTATTCTAGATACTGATACATCCAAGGTCGCATAAACTATTATCATGTGGAAAGAGGCTGCGAGTGGAGAAAGTTTAAGAAGGCCTGGTCTAGAGGACTTGCCACTGAGTTGATTTCATGGCAGACCAGAGATATAAACCTGGTCTCTAGAGGCATAATCCAATGCTCAAACCACTGACCCATAATGTCCTCCTCAATTGGAGGGCAAGGAAGAAGCTGTAACTCACCTGAACTAACAGTGATTCCTGGCAGATTCACCCCTTCCACCATGGGAGGAGGGGGAGGAGGAGGAGGAGCTGGACCATTCACTGATGGGAGGGGTGGAGGTGGCGGCGGATGGGATGCAGTCGCAGCCATAGGAAGCGGTGGGGCAGGTGGAGGATCACTGACCCCTGGAAGAGGTGGTGCTGGGGGAGGTGGAGGAGGAGGAGGAAGAGAGATTTCTTCCTGAGAAGTTTGAGAAGTTTGGACAATCACAGGACTGCTATCCTGAGTGAAGGGCAGGGGCGGTGCTGGTGGGATTTCTGGAACAGCTGGAGGGACAGGCGATGCAGATGGTGAAGGAAAATCTGGAACAACAAAGGAAACAGATTATTATCTCCTCATTCTATAGAAAATAAAAACAAAACCCTCCAGCTTACACTTTCCAGTAAAGATGTTGAAAATGGCATGGAATAATTGACAGAATATTCAAGAACAGGCATGAGCAAACTTTGGCCCTCCAGGTGGTTTGGACTTCAACTCCCACAATTCCTAACAGCCTAACAGCTTTCTGGGATTTCTGGGAGTTGAAGTCCAAAACACCTGGAGGGCCAAAGTTTGCCCATGCCTGATCTAGAATATTAAAATTGAGTGGCCGTACCTTATAGAAAAAAAGGTATGTATTTTCTTTATAATGACTGGAGACTTCTCATAACATACAAATAATGCAGAATTCTGAAGAGGAACATTTTAAGACCATAGCTCCAAGAACTGCCCCAGTCAGCATGGGCAAAATTTTCCAATCCATGGCTTTACGTGTAGAATTAAGGCAGTTTAACATTACTTTAACTGCCATGGCTCAATGCTACGGAATCCTAGGATTTGTAGTTTCATGAAGCTCCAAACTTACAAGACAACAAGTCCCATGATTCCATAGCATTGGCCCATGAAAGTCAAAGTGGTGTCGAACTGCATTAACTCTGCAGTGTAGATGTACCCAAGGACACAAACCACCAACATGGTTTAGTGATAGATATTCCTGGACTGTGTCATTTCGCATTACCAGTGAGTGCTCTCTCATTTAAAAAATGCACTTTCCTCCCCTAATACATCTAGTTGAGTACTGAGAAGTTTTTCTGTCAGAAATATTAAATATTAACTGGGTATTTTTGATTACAAAAGTGTGAGTTAAGCACTAAAACGGTTGGCAGGCCGGAGCCTGTTAGAGTTAGAGGGTCAAAGCTAGTGTTGCCCTGAGGAAAGTGAGTAAGTAGGCTGAAGCCTGTTAGTGTTAGTTTGTCTCAGTGAGGGAAATCCTCAGTTTGTGTGAGGTAAATCTCAGTCTGTGAGAAGCTTCTGTGAGAGAAGCCTCATGTTTAAAGCTCCAGTATAAAGGCTGCTGTGTGTAAAGCTACTATGTATTTATTTATTTGTGTTATAGAAACCTTGTTATTGTAAATAGTGCAAGCATATTGTTTTACTACAAAGAAAAGCCTCCTACAGAAGAGATAACATTAGTCTGTGTGTTTTTGTTCTTTTTATCACTTTGGGCGACTGGTGCTGGGACATGCTGCTGCTGATAAGTTACTCTGCTGTGCATGTATGGAGAGGGTCTTTTGTTAATAAGCCCACTCACCCAACAACTTTCATATGGGAGAGCTTGTAAAATGTGGAACTTTCCCTATGCTTCTTCATGTGGCAGAGCCCAGCAGAGACTAAACACACAATGACTGCTCAGATTGCCTGCCAGTGCATCAAAAGAATTAAAACCAGTGTCTATCTTCTTCCATGGGACACAATACCTGTGCTGGTTGATGAAGGTGCCTCAATAGTAATGGTGGTGGCTGCTGTGGCATCCATAATGACTGGGATGATTTCAATGCCCGTAATGGCATCACCACCAGGTCCACGCAAGATCCGAATCAACCCCTTATCTTCAAGCTCCTCTAGTTTGCGCTCCAAGGCAGAAGGCAATGGGGGTTCTCCTGCTCCTTGCGATAACTGCTTTTGTAGCAAAGGGGGGCCCTTTAGAACATTTACTTTGCTAGTTTGCTCCTCTGTGCTCTGAGATATAATAATAGTGGGGGAGAAAGATTAGAAAATCATTAAACCTTAATGGAAAACCCTGGGAACTGAGATCTTTTCTGGGTTCTAAGTATCAAACATTTTTTCCCAAAACGAGGACTAGAACATAACATTAGAATAGAATAGAACACAATTTTTCACTGGTTAGCATTCTCTCACTCTTATAGCATTTTCTGGGTAGCTACACTGGCTGGAGGATCAATAGAGGACCACGGAGTATTCACTAGCGATTCCTTTCCCCCCCATCAGGTATAAAGGGATCAAAACGGCTACTTTTACCAATTCCCTCCACCGAAATATATAGTTTTCTTCCACTTCTCCACTTTGATCCAGCAGGCCAATCCAGTAACTTTTAATTTGTGATTTCTAACCTGCATTTCATCAGTGAATTTTAATCTGCATTTTACCTGTGTATAATTCTTGTATGTGTTTTAATAGTGTTTTTGTTTTAACTTGTTTTGATCATGTTGTACTCCACCTCAAGACACAAGTAGATGCAGGCATTATTATAATGTAAATACCATATATTCCGGCATATAAGACGACTGGGCATATAAGACAAACCCCAACTTTTCCAGTTAAAATATAGAGTTTGGGCTATTCTCGCCATATAAGACTACCCCTCTTCCAACACACACCAAATAAAATTTAAAAAGCATCAGATTTTATTTCAATTTGGTAATTTTCCTATTACTGTACCTCCTTCTCTGCCTCTCAGATCGCGCACATGCACACCTGCGCCACTTCACTGCAGTCTTCAGGAGCAAGATCTGAGAGGCAGAGGAGGCGGTACGGTAATAGGATACAAGGGCGGGCCAGACAGGTAAAAGAGGTGTTTTTTTCTGGGCCCAGAGCCACTCTATCTCTTTTTTCCATACCCCGGGTACCCTGGATGCCTGCAGCTTGATCCGCCCTTCACTTACACCTTCCCAGTGAGGCGCCCCTCCATCTCACCATCTGGACCGCATTAAGTCCACAAATCCTGATGAATGGATTTTCTTCTACCATACTTGTACAGCGTCACCCTTAATGCTTTCATACAGTCACTGAATACGGCAGGGACACGACCACTGCCATTTTTGAGCTCCCCTCACCATATGTGGCAATCACAGATTCTCCAATCTGGATTGGAAGTTTCAGCACCCACTCTATAAGACTACTCCCAGAGTATAAGACGACTCCCGACGACTCTCCCCATTAGTTTCCTTGTGGAAATCCTTGATCTGACTAAATAGAACTCTCCTACTATACTCTCCACAGCTCATGTAGTCTCTTCCCCCAGTGCCGACTCACCTGCTCATTGCTTGTGGTTCTAGCTCTCAGAGCCTCCAGCTCACGGCGTGATTGACAAAGCTGCTTCTCTAACTCAGCAACCCTTGCCAAAGACTCATTCTCCGCATCCTGGAGCTTCTCTGTGAGCTGGGAAAAAGAGCATTAGTTTGATCAAAGCTGGCCTGAGACATTCTGATGCTTGGAACAAAGGACGAGATGCTCCTCCCCTGCTCTTCCCAATTCTGTGTACAAAAAGCTAGCCGGACTGGAAACCAAAATATATTTCAGTCTGTTGGCAAAGCAGCACACTCTACACTAGAGTGTTCCAAACTGTGTGTCGTGACATTAGTTTGTTAGCTGCAGTGTGTAGGTATGTCACGTAAACATGAGAAATGACAAAAATATTGGAAACTAGCCATCCCCTGCCATGTGTTGCTGTGGCCCAGTCTGTGTATATGTTTTTTGCGTGTATATATATTTGTGTACATGTGTATTCATGCGGTTATGTGCATGTGTTGTAATTTTTATTTTTTGTTTTTGTATTTTAAGTCTCTTCTGCTGTGTTTTCCAGTGTTTTTTATGAGTGATGGTCACTTGTTGGCCTGATTGGTGTGTTGTGTCCAAATTTGGTGTCAATTCGCCCAGTGGTTTTTGAGTTATGCTAATCCCACAAACGAACATTACAATTTTTAAAAAATAGATAGAATAATAGAATAATAGAGTTGGAAGAGATCACATGGGCCATCTAGTCCCCATGTGTGCTATTATTTTATAAATCATATATTTTTAAAGATATAAATGAGATATATTGTGTCCTCATACATTTCATTATTACAATTTATGTATGTGTCTGTATCTCTTACAAGTGGTTTGTTTAACTTCTAATTTTCCAAAATTCCTGTGGTGCGAAATGATCCAAGTCAAAAAAGTGCATCACCAAAATGAAACACTTTAAAAGCTCTGCTCTACACACTTGAGGGCAGTATAGTAGCTTAAGAGATGCAGAATAGTCCTCTTGCATATGCTGTTTTATCCATTTCATATCCCTTAGTGTTTGCTTTACTTTGCCTATCAGCGGAGCAGCCCCTGAATTGCACAGGGACCAAAACTAAAAGCAGATCAAAGTGGGACAAGCACATGTCTAAGAGGGCAAAATGAGCAGCCCCACCCTATGAAGCAAGGATGGGCTTTGTAAATATGGCATGTAGGAATGAGGCGCAGATGACTTGGAGCCCATTCTCCTTGCCACTTATTGCCACACAAGGACTTTCTTCACTGGCCAAATCCTTCATCTAGTATAGTGCCCCCCCCCAGCCCAATTCATTTTAGGTGCTTTGCCCCCAAAGTGGTTGGGGGGCTAGGCCAGCTTCCACACCTGTCCAACTTCTTCCTGCAAATCCTCCACATGCTCCAGAACAGCGTTTTTGGTTTCAGTGTCTTCTAACAGGGCACCCACATCAAAGATGTTGTCCAGGTAGGCTTGGATCTGCACCTGCAACTTATCACTCTCTGTATAGCGCAGCCTCTGAAGAGTAGAAAGAGAGAGATCTCAGCATTTAAAACAGGGCCTGGGTTTGGGAATTATTATATTTTTATCCTCATGATAAGCCTGAAAAGAAAATTTAGCTTGAGAGGCAATGCTTTATTCCTTTCCTCTAAAAAAGCTATTAAAAACATACCTGTGTACATTAGCTTATGTAGAGGAAGCTGAGTAATATTTCATGGCCTCTATCAGACTGATTACCCTGTTAGTATCCATCTATTTGTAGCATCACCTTTCATTTTATATTCTTAGATTTCATACTCTTATTTTTAAACAGAATTTAATTGCTTAATGCATTTGGTGAGGCCATGGTTTATTTGCTTGTCGAGGTTGTTTTTATCTGTTTTATATTTTATTCAAATGTTAACTTAAAATGTTGTTTTATATTGTATGATACATCAAATGTCTGCCTTTTTGGAGCTGCCCTGAGTCCTTTTGGGGAGAGAGGATGGGTTAGAAAAAAAGTTGTTATTATTATTTTACTGAAAAATACAGTATGTCACAGCAAATGAGAGATATATGCTGGATTTTATACCACAAAATCACAAGTTGAACACGTCCCAAGCATCTAGGACTGTGTGATGTATTTTCAAATGATGCGCACAGATCCAAGTAAGGTGGCCTTTTGCAGTTCACAGATCGTGACTTTGTCAATGTTTATTGTTTCAAAATGCCAGCTGAGATCTTTTGGCACGGCACCCGGTGTGCCAATTACCATGGGGACCACCTGTACTGGTTTATGCCAGAGCCTTTGCAGTTAAATGTTGAGGTCCTGATAACGGCTGAGTTTTTCCTGTTGTTTTTCCACAATGTGACTGTCACCTGGTATGGCGACATCAATAATCTTAACATTATTATTATTATTATTATTATTATTATTATTATTACTTGAGTATAATGTGCAGTGGATTATAATGTTACCAAATGCAATGTGGCCTCAGAATGTCTGACAGGAAGGGGAAGCCTGATATAGGGGCACATCTGCCCAACTGGCCTCCTTCACAACGCGAGGGAGAGATTTTGAAGGCCTTGTGAGCTGCCTTAAGTCCTATATTAGAAGAAATATGGGCTATAATTTAAATAAATAAATGTAAAATAATTAAAAGCAGACTGCAGAGATAACCTGTTAGGTCTCTGAATCGTCTACTCACTTATATTCAACGGTATTGTGGGAAGGGCGGTAACAACTCCCTCTCCTGCCTCTCTGGATCCACCAGATGGAGGCATTTCATAGTTCTTCGTATCTATAAATGTGTGCTTTTTCATTGCCTTGAATTGTCTTGAGTCTAGCTCAGTGGTTCTCAACCTGTGGGTCCCCAGACGTTTTGGCTTTCAACTCCAAGAAATCCTAACAGCTGGTAAACTGGCTGGGATTTCTGGGAGTTGTAGGCCAAAACACCTGGGGACCAACAGGTTGAGAACCACTGGTCTAGCTGGACCTTATTATTTGGAAAGTCACGCTTTCCCACAATTACTGTTTTCTGAATTAATAACTATAGCAGCTAAATGGGTGATACAGACAATGGCTTCAAATTTTCATACAATGCCATATGAATGTCATCACAAAACCATATTTTAAAAGGCATTAAAAAAACCTTGTTTTATATGTCCTAGAAGTGTGAATCTCCTTTCTCCACACACACCAACATACATACATACATACATACATACATACATACACTCCAGAACCAGAACCATCACTAATTATGACCAGAAATTAAGAATTTCTAACTGAATAAGTGAATAGCCTACATGTCAAACTGGGCTCTCAGTATAAATACAACAGCATTAAATATGAAATCAAAGTTGTCACAACTGGGAAAAGTAGATCTGAGTGACATACTGTCTTACATATTTTTGGTGGGTCTCGATCCAACCAGTTTCTTTCTAAGAAACAACTTTGATTTTAGATATAACTGCTCTTGTATTTGTGCCACGTGCCCAGTATGACTTGTAGGCTATTCACTTATCTAGTTATAGTTGCTTAACCCAAGTTAAGCAAGTTGGTTTAAAAAGCAAAGAAAAAACGGGAAGAGAGACGTATGCATAGTATGGAGAAAGTGGATAATGGCAGATTTTTCTCTTTACTTCTTCACACCAAAATCTGAAATCATACAATAAAACATAATGGAAGGAGAAATTTATTTTGACTAGTAATATTACAAAAGCATTCTGTGAGCAGGATTTCACTGAATTTCCCTCACTACTTACATATGCAAGTTCATCTGTTTCTGATTCTTTGAGAAAACTTCTGATTTATACAGCAGATAAAATTATCTGATTCAGGCTTTCTGGAAGATTCTCTACATTATAAATGGCATGCACCTCAAGATTGCTACAGAAATAATGATTAATGAAAACAGCAACCACCAACTGACAATGGACTCCCCCCCCCCCCAAAAAAAAAAAAGGTTTTTGAACATCCTTCTTACCTCTAGATATTCATCCAGTCCCAACTGCGTGAACTCATATTGTAAGAAGACACGGAAATTCATGTTCTCCACAGAATGAACCACAATGTTGATGAACTGCATGCAAGCCACCTGGATGACAGGAAGAGAACAGGATTGTGACAGAAGAGAGAAAAAATGCATATTACACCAGAGACTGAAGTACATCCTTCAACAATTTTTCAATCAGGTTTTTGATGATTGGACCTAATTTAGCACAGATTCCTTTAATTCCATTTCTTTGTTTGATTCCCATTCATATATTTGGCTGTATTCACACGTTAGATATATAAATGCATGCATTCATGCACACTCACATACACACAATGCTAAATATCAGTGTGTGAAAGTTAACTAGTCACAAGCAACACATTTTTGTAATTCATTCCTTATTTTCATGTTTCTTTTATCTCTCTAATCTCGTATTAGTCGCTCATGGATGTTTGTATTTTCATCTCATGACGTGATTTTCAGCATGAACAATAAATCAAACTGAAAAAATACTGTTTTAATTGGGTTATTGTAGGTTTTTTGGGCTGTATGGCCATGTTCTAGAAGCATTCTCTCTTGACATTTCGCCTTCATCTATGGAAGGCATCCTCAGAGGTTGTGAGGTCTGATTTAACTGTTTTAATTGTCTCCATATTGTGGTACCATTTTCTTAAGCAACTGTTGAAGCCCACAGGAACAATTCTGCAGAGCTGGAGGAGGCAGTTTTATGGCAGAAAATTTTGTCTTGCTTTTGTTTGAGCATGTATGGATCAGGGAGTGCTGAAATGACCAACTGTGGGCAAGGAAACACATCTATAGCTTTCTCCTTCAGCCCTTTCATTACCATGAAATCTATGTTGCTGTCTTCATTTCTGAAATATTCCATCAGCTTCTCAAAGCGATTTTTTTCACCACAAACCTATAAAGGGAGAAAGAGAAGCAGTTAGTTAGACTTGGCACCAAAGACTACTTAAATATGAGTGGATACTGTTTTTTTCTCCTTGTTACTGATGTTTCTTTAATCTATTTCATGTTTTATTTCAATCACATATGATGTCTCTGGTTGCCAGATCTTATTAAGGATTTGGGCAGATATGTACTACACGACACAGTGACAACAGAACAGTGTATGGTCAGAGGTTGGTACTGAACCAAATGGTTCAACAGAGATCAAGTGACTGTTTCCCTGGATCCCACCCAACCCTAAAGCAAAGATTGGCAAGTCTAGCTCTTCAGATGCTTTTGGACTATGCTACCCATTATTCCTCACCATGAACTATTCTGGTTAAAGCTGATGGGAGCTGTAGACCAAAAACATTGGGAAGGCCACAGCTATCCATTTGTGCCTCAGTGGATGAAGCAGAGATTGGCAAAGGCATCAAATATTGCTTTTATGGCCCTACCAACTATCATTCAGACTCCCCCACAACAGATCTTCTGCCAAAAAAAGAATGAACTGTCTGTTCTGAAGCAAACAGGATAGGAAATTAACCATTTTAAATAACTTGTGGGTGTGTATATGTGATTTGTTTAACTTGTTCTTCAGTTATACATATTTCAAAATCAGGAATAGACTGATTTTGAAAATTTTTCTTTTTTTCTTTTGCCATTTTAGCAGTCTGCACCACCTGGCAGGATCCAAAAGTCTGAGATACAGAAGACTGGCCCCAAATCTCCCAAAGCTATGGAGTCCTGGTAAAATTCCTCTTGACCCTGGCCTGGTGATATAGTCTGACAAAGCTGTCATGGAAAGCACCCAAGCTGTCATTAGACTATCCTATACTTGCTTTTCTATTTCTTGGTTTGCCAGCTGGCCAACCTGACTACTTGCCAGCTCCTGTGTCTGCCAAACTAATATTCTCTGTTGTGTTTCACCTCCTGCAGGATGCCAGTCCCAATATTGTCTTTAAAAATGGCCATGACTTCCTCAAAGGAACAGCAGTTTTATGAAGGAGGGTGCTGAGAATTCTAAGAGTTATTTTCCCCATTGCATCATTATAGTGATATTCAGGTTCCCCAGAGATGGCAGTGTTGGAAGGCTGTTTTAAACTAATTTTTTGTACCTAAGGGAGATTTGGTTTTTTTCATACCAGTAACACTTGATTGTCTTGCCCAATGAAACATTCATTTTAGTGCATAATTACATACCACTGTTTTTACCTGGACAATGTTAGCTAAAGCTCATGGTATTCCATACACAAATGACATAAGATTCACTTCACACACACACAATGTGGGATATGCCGTACACTCAAAATACTATAAATGAATCAAGCTTTTTGATTCTTAAATCAAGTGGTTGAAGGGTGCTCCAAAATGATATTCTGTCCTTTTATCTTTTCCAATTATGTTTAACCTGTGTTTTTAACCAGGTACTTTTTAATGGAATAGTTTATTAGCTTTTTTAACTTTTTAAAATAAAATTTGAACTGATTGATTGTTGAAAACTGCTTTGGATCCCATTCCAAGAGAAAGGTGGAATATAAATATATTTATTGAGAGGGGAACTGCAAGGGCAGAAAAAAGGAGCTTCCAACCTGCATTTAGAAAGTGGGAAGACAGTCAAGGGAGGAGAAAGGGATGGAGGTAAACTGCATGAGTAGCACCAAATATTGTGCGCTGTTCAGTTATAGGTTTGGGTAAAGTCTACTTAAGATGCATATATTTGTACTGTTTTTGTTTGGAAAATACACACATTGCTATAAGAGGCAATAGAGACATGTCTGAGAACTCCCAAGAAGTGTGTGCCAACAAGTATGATATTACATAGCACTGCTTATATATACATGACTCTCCTCAGGTCGAAGACCTTGTTATTACTCCTCCGATTACAACTGTTGCTGGCAATGTCATCTTGCCTATAATGGATACCTGATCTAGGGAAGGGCAATGAACTGGAGTGAAGTTTGGACGGGGGAGTTTTCCCCTGGGGATTGCCGTTCCTATTTTGCCCAGTTCCCACCTGTGACTTCAAACCCTCCGTGCCGATTAACTTTTCAAACAAGATAGAATTACAGCCTTACAAGAGTTTACTATTAGCACAAGCAAGCTGTTTGGCAGTGTGAATGCCCCAAAGTACGGGGTATAAATAAATGTGTAAACAACTGGCCATATTTCACAAACACACTAGTAATAAAATGAATAGTAAATAAATGCCCCTGAATGCTGCTCAGAGATTATTTTGATTGTCTTTTATGAGTGCTTGTTATTTACTCTTTTATTTGGATTGTTCTAGTTGCACTTCACTGCTTTTAATTATCATAAACTATTTCTGTGGGGCAACTATAGATGAAAAAGTGACATGGAAATGTAATTAATATATATAAAAATTGCACCAGAGCAGTGAACTGAAGAGTTGGAAGTAACAATGATGGAAAAGAGATGAACATCAGGGGACAATGCATCCTGATGTGAGATAAGGTGCTCTGCCCATCTAAGCCATCTTCTGTGCATGTTTCTGCATCAGAAACTTCAGATTTTTAAAGAGTTGATGTGGTACACATCTTCTGGGTGCCATATAATTGTACTGCAGTGATTTCCATGGGGCATATGTTTCTATTGCTCAACTATCTTCATTCCAGGACAACTATCTTATATTCAGCCTTATGTATAAGTCAAAGGCAGGTTAGGGGAACAAGATTATGGATTTTTGTATGATAAGTAGATAAGTTGAGGGCCATCCCATGGACAGGGGAAAGCACTACCACTTCAGGGAGACAACTGCCACTGGATGCCACCAACATTTTACCACCCAGGTATCCAAAAGGGCAAGAAGCACCACCATTGTGGAGAGAATAGAGGAGGTCAGTGGGTTTTCCAGGGACAAACTAAGCTCTTGCCTTTCCCCCCCTTTTATTATTATGTAATTATGATGTTGTTGCTTGTTGTTTGTGTTCTTGGTTTTACTTTGTTGTAATTTTTTGTTTGTGCTTGGCCTCATGCAAGCCGCCCGAGTCCCCGTTGGGGGAGATGGTGGTGGGGTATAAATAAAGATTATTATTATTATTATTATTATTATTATTATTATTATTATTTTGTCAGCCTATTTGGAGAAGGAAAAATTTAAGGTGCAGTAATCACATTGATCCATGGATTAATCAACCCAGTTTGTTAGGAATTGATTTTTGACTTTTATTTCTAGCCATATACATGAGTATATAGGGTAACAACACATAGACATCTATTAAAACATAATTATGGTAGGATTAAAACAAGAGACTTATTGAAAAAATATTAACAATATTGAAGACTGGGTTGTAAGACATTTTGGGAGTGGGGCACTATCTGCAGATTCAATGGCAGACTGTTTTGCTGGGCATTTTTATGTGGTTTATTAATACATGAGGAGAGTCATGTGCTTTGCTGCCCTTTGTGGAGTTTCTCTGTGCTGCACAGGGACAAAAGATAGCACCTAACTTTTATCCAGAAATAAATGCATGGTAGAAGTCATAATACAGATACACAGCAGTAGTGGGGATCTAAGACCCTGTTCTTCAGGCCTTTCCTTGCCACCCTACTGCAATGGAAGTTAGACGTAGAAAGATTGGGGGAGAGGAGCAATAGCGAGACTGAGGAAAAATCGGAGGTTGAGCTCAAGGGACTTGAGCTTCAAAATAGTTCACCTGCTAACATTTTTTCCTCTTTTTGACACAGTCTTGAAGAAACCCAGTAACTCTGTCAAAGTTTGGAACCCAAATTGGGACATCACCAATAACCTGCCACTGAAGTACTACCTTTTTTTGACTCTGCCTTTCTAGTCTGAAAAGTGGGACTGATCCATCTAGGAATTGCTCTTCATTAAAAAAAAAACCCAAATTTTAACAAATTCATCTATAAAGGGCACACACACAAGACTGATTAATGTTGTTGAGAAGTGATGCCCCCACAAACAAAAAACACCTCTGTGACTCTCTAATGAGTCAAAATGGTTTAAAATAAATATATCAGACCAGGCTGGTAGCACTATTGGTTAATCAGCTGCAATATATCACTGTTGACCGAAAGGTGGCAAGTTTGAAGCCCGAGTCTGGGTTGAGCACCCGACTGTTCATAGCTGTTCATAGCTGTTCAAACATTTTTAACAGCTATTTTTTTTTTAAAAAAAAAGCTGTTAAAAAAAATGTTTGGCTCACTGTCGACCTAAGCAGTTCGAAAACATATGTGAGCTGTTTGTAGAGAAATTAGGGATTGCTTGAAGGGGGAGGCTAATTTATGACACTATTAAAATGCTGGAGAGCAAGGAGGAAATACTACAATCAAAAAGGCTCGACGTCACAGTGGACAAAGTGACAGCTCCCCCTGTGGCCAAATCGAGCAACCTTTAGGATCCGGTGGAAGAACTGCTGAATGGCCTCTATCTGTCTGGACGTCCTGTATGTCAAAAATGGCATTGAATGTTTGCCGTGTATATGTACATTGTGAAATACAAATGAAATACAGAGATACTGACCAGGGCTGTAGCCGGTGGGGGGGGGGGGTAGGGTTCAACCCCTCACTCCATTTTTTAGCTTTAAAATGCTGGTTTACTCATGAACTTTAACTGGTTAACAAAATCCCCGTGCTAAGTCTATGAGAAGCAAAAATTAAACAAGTCCCTCCAGAACTGCAAGGACTACCTCAAGCAAATTTTGACAATTTATTCACACTGTCATTACTTGCAGCAATAGCTGATATAGTGGAAGCAACCAAGTTGGCCCACCCACAACCTGGGGGGTGGTGGAGGTGAAGGCTAGTTGAGGCTGCTCTCCCCCTCTGCTGTGCTCTTTGCTTCAGCATGAGGTAGGTTCCTAATGGGGAATTAGACCTTTCCCTACTTGCTCCCTCCCCTAATCTTTTCCAGAGGATAGTAGGGTGTTCAGCTTTATTGCTTTTGCCAATATATTAGGAAGCAAGGTCTCCATTTTGTTCAGACCTCATGTTCGGCTTCATGCCTTTGGGCTATTCTTGCCTCAGGCTAGGACCATTCTGGAGTGGTCTTCCGGTGTATCTGAGAGGCCAGGTTCTGCTTGGTCAGGCTCATGGCCCAACAAAATAGAAGTTATTAGATCTGGTCTGTTCTGGAAGCTGTGCAATCATACTCTCTTGGCCTCAGGGCAAGGTACGGACACACTATTGGAAGTATAAATCTTCATTATGTGGCCAACAGCCTGGTTCGGGTTCGGATTTTCAATCCATGCTATGTTTCATATTTATATATTCATCGTTAATATCTCACTGTATTTTCACCTCATGCTAGACTGCATGTTGGGCCCCTCATGGAAGAGGCTGTTTGCTTTGCTGCCACAGGGAGCACTATTTTCTACAGTGTTTGAGAGGAGTTGCCAGAAGTTAAGCAGTCACACTCTCTCAGCCATAGGGTAAGATACACACACTCAGATTAAATATAAACTTTCATATTACTTATATTCATTATGGTGTCAATAATAGTATGATAGCTGAGTCCGGAAGCTCATGGTGCCTTCGCTTATTCACAACCGTCGTTGTGGAATGTGTGTAATGCTCGGAGCTTCCAGACCCAGCTATCATACTATAACCTTGGTGTCTTTTAGGGCTGTGTGTCTTATGCCAAGCCTCATCCATTTGGAGGATTGGAGTCCCAAAAAACTCTATAAGAAAAACTTAAGTTTAAATACACTTTATGATGTTTCCAGGTATATAACAACTGTGATAATTTGTGCTTGCTTCAAAAGATTATACTTTATTTTCTCCTAAACTATCATGTGATTTTTGAATAATTAAGTACCAGATTAAAGGTATTTTATGTAGTTTCTATGTATTTATGGGTCATTGATCTTGATTTTTTGATATGCCAATTTAAAGTGTGTGTGCGTGCGTATAGGTTGTTTTAAAATCTTAAAAATTCTAAAACATATATAAGAAGCACAATAACAGCCTGGTTAAAAGAAAACAAAGTGAAACTACTAATTTAACCATTTTGCCTCAAAAAAAAGAAGGAGAAATAAACCACTGCTTAAAATGAGAAGTCAAATAGGGATGGGAGAATAAGGACAATTAGATACAATTTAACCCCTTGTACAGAAGAATGGAAGAAGCCCCCTGCTTTTTTTGGTTTTTTTTTACCTTCCCCCTTGTTTCTCTCCCCCCCCCCCATTTTACCCTACTCACATTCACATTCCTATTTCCCTTTACCCTACCCATATCTCTCCCTTTCTACTCTTTCCTTTTTTCCCCTACTTACTCCTTTTTTAAAAATCTTTGTACCAATTTTTTAAAAATAAAAATTACTTTAAAAAAAAGAAGCACAATGGGGCGAGAAAGTCTGACTGGACTTATACTCTTGAGTGTCCACTGAAGTTTATCGATGAAGTCTGATTTCTGTCAATATGTATTGACACAGTTTTCAAGTGTTTCCAGCAGACGTGGTGGTATTCTTTTGCAACTGTAAATTACCAATTATTACCAGTCATTTTCAGTTATTTTAAGACTTGAAACTTTGCAATTAAAATCCAAAACTGATTTAATTAAGTCTACATCAAAATATAGACTGAACCATACTATTTAAATTAGTTTGTGTTATGGATCTACTCTTCATGATTCACTAAAAAAAAGTCCGGCCCCTCCCCCCGGCGAATTTTTTTTTCTGGCTACAGCCCTGATAATGACATATGCAAACAGAAACATAAATCCTCTCCCAACCCTATTTGCTCAACCATATTAGGAGGGAGATCAGGTTTTCCCTATCTATATGGTGTTTCCTCTCTCTTCAAGGCTGTAGTGCAAACCGCCTGCTGCATGGCCAAATTTATCCTATGTAACCTAAGCAGTTTGTTTGTCAATGCTCCCTATATCAGTTTACAGGCAATTGTGTGAAAACTAAAACCCAGGTTTCCCTTCTATTCCTACTCACTCACTTAGTACATCTCATTTCCAAAGCCTTTCCCAATTCCTCTGAGTATGCCCAATGAGTTTAGCATAGAGCAAAATAAGTACCAGCGTGTGATTTTCTTCCAATGCAAGCCCTGGTTTCAAAGGATGGGCTGAGCATGGAAAGACATAGTTACATTTTCTCTTTGTTCTGATTTGCTGGAATATCACCCTCCTCCAATTGATGTGATTCACTTTTGGGTTTTTTAAGAACACTGAATGTTAAATGCAAGTCAAATTTCACATCATGTTTAGTTTAGTTCTAAAGAAACAGCAGGTGCTTTCATTCTTACTATTCACACACACACACACCCTATATCTGCCTCGTCCAAATTATCTTCTGCTTCCATTTCTAAGAGCTATTTAAAACTACATAGCAAACACACACTCCATATTTAGACAGACATGAAAGCCTTGAAAATCTCAGCTTTCACACTTCACCAAAATGCATGTTCCTAGGCATTCAGATTCACACAGAGATGAGCTAGAAAACGTGCAAAATGTAGCAGCAGATGCAACTCAGAGTACAGCATACTGTGCCTGCTTCCATCTCAGGATAAAACTTTGGGGCAAACGATAAAATCCCCACTCGAAATGAGGCGGAAGGCCCTCAACCATAGCAGAGCTTGTTTACACTTGTTTTCATGTTAAGTGAACAATATGTGCTGTGGTCTAAAGATTGTTAAGTCCTGAGTGTATCTATACTACACAGCTACAACACCTTGATGCCACTTTAGTTGCCATTGCTTCACTCCAATGGCATATTGTTATTTGTAGTCTGGTATTTCTCTGTTAGATAGGCTTCTGCCTTGGATTTGTCTGTCAATCAGGTCTAGGACTGAAATATAGTATCGATGCCACAGTATGCAGCCACGGAACCTGAAGTGATATTAAACTGCTGTAACTTTTAGTGTAAATTCTAATGAAAGTGTGTTTTAACATAAACTTAATGCACCATGGTTTTGGCTCATATGACACTTTCGGTTATTTAATTAACTCACGACTTGCTGCACATTTGCCGGGCAGTAAGTTTGGTGAAAGATTGCTCTAGCTAGAACCAGCATCAGAGAAAGTAGATAGAGCTCACATACCTCCTTGAAGTTGTCAAAGGCCGCCAGAATGATGTCATGCCCACCTCGGACCAAACAAACAGCAGCCAACAGCTCAAGGACAAGAGCTTTGGTTCTGTAATGGTAAGAACATGATGTCAGGCATCTACCTACCCTTAGAAGAGAACTTTGCCCACTCCTTTCTCAATTTCTAGAGCGGCAGCAATGGCTGATGCAAGCTCATAGGATGGACCTCCGCAAGCCTCTTTTTAGAAATCAGAGAAGAATAGTAGTAGCAAGCAGGGATGCGAATAGGTTTTCTTAGCTCTCCACTTTGAAGTAAAGTGAAACTTTGTGGGCATGTATATCAATTAGAACACAATTATCCCTTGGATTTTGCAACTTAGAAAACAAGTCTACATATATGTGTGTGTGTAATATGCAGAAATGTGTTTATATATGAAACATGTTGTTTAGTTAGGAAAATGGGTAGTATGACACCTGAATCTGACTATAATTGCATTAGTTACAATGAAATATTAGTAAAAATATTTTTAAGCCATTTATGATAAAATATGTTAGAGATTGGAAACAGTTTTGGACTATGATTTTCAGGACCCATTCAAAGAATGGGAGTTGTAGTCCAAAAAATTCCACAACTTTGCCAAACACTGTAAAATTCATACTGAACTAAGAATTTAAATCTTTCACATGGAATACGGGATGTTTAAAAAAGATAGACCCAATTTAAAATAGCTACATTTGCCATGAATGAAATTTTGACTCCTTGAAAGGGTAGGGCATTGAGTTTCAAATTACTGTTATATGCCTCTCCCAGTGCACAAACAGCTCCTAGAAGCAGCTGGTGGCAAGATGAGATACTCCTAATGAGATATTATTTTTTAGATTTGATTCTGGCTCAAAGTGGTTAGTAAAATTTGATAACCTGAGAATTAATTAAACCGTGTGTGTAACTGTAACATGTTGCCATCGTTGAATACTGTATACTGCTTTGAAAATGGGTCAGTCATTTTGAAACACCCTGTTGATGTTTCAATGGAATAGAATAGTTCTTTGAAAGTCAGAATTCTCACCTGGGGTTCTTGTTGTTGAGGCTGAGAGTGATCTCATTGACACAGGCAGGGTGGTTCATTACAAGGCTGAAGCCAGACTAATGGGTGGGAGAGAAAGGAAGTTAGGAGGCCAAATAAACTCAGAGAAATGAGGAGGCAGTATGATCAAACAATATTTTTCTCTATATGTTACTTAACTACCTTTCTTTTATTGAGCACAAGATGGCTCTCTTCTTTCCCACTTAATCATCACAGAAAGCTTGTTATTTAAGGCAGGCTGAGAAATAGTGACCCATTCTTCATGGCCCAATGAGGACTCAAATCCAAATCTACCAAGTCACTTCCCAGCATCCTAACTGCTACACTTGTTCTGAAGTAGAGATTATAACATACAGATAGATGAGTGGGATCAGCAGGTCAACTCTGTGGTCATTTACAATCAAGCAGCCCACACAAAGAACATGAAGGCAAGACGCCTCTCACTTAGTTTGCCTCCACAAACTGATATGCAAAGATAAACTTCCTCTAGGCATGCAAGTCCTGCTTAGCTCTAGTGTCTTCTAGTTAGTAATACATTTGTCCTTCTTGAAGCTGTCCAATGGGGAAAGCAACATGTTAATCACCAGATTCCATCATTCCCAGCCATGTACCCATGCCAGCAGCAGCTGGAGCCCCCGGTGGCACAGTGGGTTAAACCCCTGTGCTGGCAGGACTGAAGACTGACAGGTCACAGGTTCAAATCTGGGGAGAGGCGGATGAGCTCCTTCTATCAACTCCAGCTCCTCACGCGGGGACATGGGAGAAGCCTCTCACAAGGATGATAAAAACATCAAATCATCCGGCGTCCCCTGGGCAACGTCCTTGCAGACGGCCAGTTCTCTCACACCAGAGAACTTGCAGTTTCTCAAGTCGCTCCTGACATGACAAAAAAAAAGCAACTGGAAAGCACCATCCCAACAACTACAAAAAACTTTAGAAAGTTCTACTGACACAAAAGTGTCAGGATATATTTGAAAGACCATATTAATATCCATGCATGTATGCCTGTACACACTTTAGCATCTCAAAGGGACCACTTCCTGCATTACTCCTTCTGAAAGCCAGCCTACAACAGTTCAGAATTAAGAGCAGATTCAAGAACATATGCAATAGCTGGATACTGGAAAAATTTCATCTAGATTTTTAAAGGCAATTCACATAATATTCTCAATTCCCCACCTCCCCAAATTCCTTTCATTACAATATCTGAAATCCTATTAAAAAAGAAACTGAGAGAATAAACATCTAGACTATATATATGCAAAAAGCTACAGCCTTCCTTAATCTGACTGGCTAGAAAATAGGCGAATTATATATGTAGTCTGAATTTGGAAAAGTAATTTTTGGAGTACAACTCCAAGTGTACTTCAGCCCACAAAACTACTGGCTCTTTCCCAAGCTCTCATTATAGTCTAACACAGCTGGATGTCACTAGCTTGAGAAAGGAGATGACTTTGCTTGATGCCTTGTACATCTGCTGCCTGTTGGAAAGCCAACATCCTGACTCAAACTCAGCTTCATAGATTTGTATGCCACTCTGGGAAAATACGCAACACTTCCTTCGATCATATCAAATTACTTATCCATTTAATAATTACTAGCCATCCCCTGCCACGCGTTGCTGTGGCCCAGGCTGCATATATTTGTGTATTTGTGTGTTTGCGCTTATATATGTGGTTTTGCGCATGCATTGTAATGTATTTTTTTGTTTTTTGGCTTTTTAAGTCCCTTCTGCTGTGTTTTTCAGTGTTTTTATGAATGATGGTAACTCGTTGGCCTGGTAGAAGTATTGTGTCCAAATTTGGTGCCGATTTGTCCAGTGATTTTTGAGTTATGTTAATCCCACAAACAAACATTACATTTTTATTTATATAGACTGTCTGCACTGACTGGTGACAATTTCCAAGCTTTCACACATGGAACTTTCCAAAATCTGGAGAGTTTACATTTTTGGTCTATAACTTCAAGAATCCCCTGAGTTTAAAATAAACTTTCCCAAGTTTTGCATCTATGTCAGCCCTACTTTGAGATGTCATGGATTGATGGTCACAAAGCTTTTCTGTCTCGACCTGACCACATCCATATAGGCTGCTTTACATATGATTTTTTATCGTACTTTTCATCATTGTATGACTTTCAGGATGCCCTCCACCCCATTTCCCCATGATTGCCCTCAGTCACCTGATAATTCATGATGGCACGGAGACACATGATGCAAACGTGGACATCATCCTTCTGGCTGACAATGCGTGAGTTCCTCAGCGCTTTCCTACTGTGTGCCGTATTGATTCTGAGGTAGAAATAAATTTGGAGGGGAAGGGACAACTGAATGAGAAAGGATGCCACAAACCACACCAGATTTCACAACAGCATGAAGTTAATAACAACACCAAAGGTTTGGGAAGCAATAAATTGCGGCGGGTTGTGGGGATGGAGAGGGTAAGGTTGGGCAGCAACGTAAGATCTCTTTGCCTTTAAGTCATCAGTTCAAAGACTGTCTGGTAGATGCTGTGATCAATAAAAATCCTTGCACCACTATCCCTACAACCTTAGCAAAGAGGCAAGGAGAGGTGCACACGTTCATGTATAAGTAGAAATTTAAATCCAAAAAAACTAGATCAACTAATCCACAGGTCAATGTCAGTTCTATACTTTCCGACTTATCTAAAAACATACCATCTTTGAGCAGAGTGGTGAGACCCTAATCCACACGCTAAAAGAAGCACTGGCCTCCTTTGCTTCCTCTGCTATGGAACCACTTCTGGCCTTTTCAATTGTCAATTCATTTAAATGGTGGTGGCAGCCAGAGGGAGCTGATACCTCGAATCAGCACTACCACTTTCCTCTCTCTGCTGAATGGCCCTCAACATACCAACAGGTCATATCAGAATCTAATTTGGGCCCCCAAAACTTCTCATCGACTTATACATGAGGTTCTTATACGTAAGTAAATATGGTTAAAATGATGCTCACTGTTCAGATCCTAAATATCTGAGCTTTCAGAGCATCAGAAATAGTTTCTCATGACCCAAATAAAAAAACCTAAAACACACATAGGCTATGTTGACTAAACACTGAAAGGGCTACAGGATGAGCATGTTTAAGCCTGCTTTGGTCAACTTAGTCTAGTCTCTGCCCTCAGTGGTACCATATTCCCCTTCCACTTTCTCTGCACATCAGTTCCAATTCCTTGTATATGACACACACACAAAAGAAACCTGCAGCAAAGAAAAGAAAGAAACCACACACATACACACACAAATAGTGCCAAAACAGGATAGTGCAACTCAAATAAATAAAAAAGCATGCAAAAATCTGCAAATGCCCCAGATTTATAAAATTTATTCCAGTTACAGAACTCTTTTCAGATCATATAACCTGGGCTTTTTGCAAATGTATTAATTTATTTTTTATTTACAGTGCAGATTTCCAGACCACACTGCTTAAAGGGCTCCTAACGTTCTGTATCTGGGCAATGAACACAAAAGCTCAAGAAGGTGGGGGAGCATGCTCTCGCCTGGCCAAGCCTGACATGCCCTCTGGTTGCATTCACAGGGGACGTCTCTGGTGAAGTGTGGGGAGGAAAGGCTCACCGGGGTGAGTAGGAGTTGACAGGTGGCCTGGGCTTACAGTCCTGCTCGCTCCCGGGGGTGCTGGAGGAGGGGACGCTTGGGTGGACTTGTTGAAAGAATGTTTGGATCTGCTGATTCAAATGGCAACACCTGAAGGAGGTGGAAGATTGCAACCCTGTAGGACAGGAGGGAAAAATAGGACGCTTCAGGTGGACGCATCCCCACCCTTCCATCCCTCAACCTTGGGGAGAAAGTATCTGTTTGGGAACCACAAGGAGAAGAGTTTATCCATAACCTATACAACCTTGAAAGAATTTCAGCAGCCTTTGGTCAAATTCAGCAAAGAACTGTAGCTCTTCACTGCTACTTTCCCACAAAATATTGTTCTCTATCCTTCATTCTTTAGTGTGAATGGCTTCTGACACACACTCTTTCCATTGTGGATTATCTGTTGTGAATCTGATACATTTTAGAGGGTAATGGGACAGTCATATCGAGATCTTTGTTCACCCAAGGTAAGCTTCATGTCATTAAATACCTTAGAGCCACAGAAAGGCTTCCCTTGCCTGTAAGGGTTGATTTAGCCTCAAGTGGAAACAGAATTTGGAAAGATAAAGAAAAATAAATATAATGTGCTGGTATATATGATACATGTAACAATAGTCATAACATCGTGATTTGCATAATTTAGCAGCAGTAACAGGATGATGTTCAAGGAGCAAGAGCATCATCCTATAATTGCCCAGTTATGTATGTCTTCAGCATTTCATTATATTAATTTGTCTTAAAAAAGAAGTTTACAAGCTTTATCAAAGGGCATTCATTATCTATTGCCAGCAGATTGCGCTCTGAGCCCCAGGTCCCACCCCTCTAATCTTTTGAGGTTGCGTCCATTTTGTTTTTATCTTTTTTTGTACAAGTAGGACAAAACAGCCTCTGCTGCCACAGACACAAATTAAATTATTTTCATATCAACAAAACATGGAAGGCACCCTCAGTGCCCTGGCTATACTGTCTATAAGTAAGACCAAAAGATGTCCAGAGTCTCTATTTATTATATGTCTCCCAGACAGAGTAAGAGAGAAAGAAAAGGGAATGGATTGGGAAGGAGGGAGAGACTGAGAGAGACAGAGATGTACCTTTTCAAAAATATCATGAGTGCAACATATGACAACTCAGTGTCCCACAATGTCCATTACATCAATCCTTTCTGTCTCCCTTATGATCCAATGAGCCCAAACTACAAGCAAGCTATGTTTCATTGTCATATTGCTCCTCTTCCCCACCCATACCAGAGGAGCACAGGCTGGGTACCTACCGTGAAGTGTTGTCCCAGAGGAGGCGTGCAAAAAAAGTGTGGGGTTAGAATGAGGAGAAAGTCAAAGAGTGACAGCAGATACAGGGCAATTCGAGAGAGAGAACAGAAAACCAGAAACTGACATTTGTCAGAATGGAAGTAAGTAGGCAGCATGATCAAGTCCCAAGTGCTAAAAACAGTGAGGAAGAGGCAGGAATGGTGTCAAGGCAGTATGCTTTGAGGGCAGTAATAAGGATTATGTGGAAGATAAATATCTGACTAACTAGCGTAGGGTTTCTAAGACTTTGCCATTCTTCTGGATTGTTTTGCTGGATTTGCAGACCACCATACTGGTTGATCTACTACAATATATTAAAATTTGACAGCAGCTATGTGGGTGGATGCTTGAAATGCTTCCAGACTAAAATTCAGTCCCTGCCTGGTAAACTTATATGCATGCTGAGGAGGAAGCCATGCATGCAAGCAAGCCAGCAGTTTCCATGCATCTGCTTGCTCTGACAAGGAGACACAATGCTTTTCATTTTACAAATTGAAGCTGGGAAACACATGAATGGAATCATACAGTTCCAGCAATCAGCTGAAAGTGCTCGGGTGTGTGTCATAGTTTAAGATACACCTGGGAATCAGATCATGTTGGATTGTCCCTCCCATCTTTTATTATGATGGACAGAGTTCATGGGCACTGTAGTATATGGAGGACCCCATTTCTTATTATAAAACTACTCTGAAGTAATCTAAAGGCAGTAAGTAATGCATATAAAGTTATAATTAATTACTTTTTTACTTCTTTTCTAATGACCACCTTACTTAAACAGAATCAGCAGCAGAAATTCTTAATTTTGTAATTTCTAAATGTAATTCATGAGAGAGATACTATGGTTAGAAGCATATTTACAAGTACACAAACTAACAATAGCTAATCTGAGACTTGTAGAAATCATTTTGCTCAAGTAAACAACTTCTACCTAACCAGCTTGTTCACCTGAGATAACTGTTTTCTATTGTTCAAAGCTTTAATTTGGTATTGTTTGCAGGAGAGGGGGGAATGCAAAGTGGCAGATGACCATGAATTAAAATGTCTTCATCCTCGTTTGTAATGGAAGATGTTCTTCCATATAAATTTTGCATTGGTGAAATACAAAAGAAGATGACATACATTTGATTGTAGGAGGGTGCTTTGAAAACTGAAAAAACTAATCTAACTCACTGAAAGTGAATGTGCATGCACAGTGTGTGGTGGGAAGTAAAAACATAGTGTCACCTCCCCCTTAGATTCATATGCTGCACTTCATTATTGATGAGTGGGACTAGGAAATACTACCCGGTTTTGACTTGGTTACCTGACAGTGAAGTGCCTTGTTTTGGTGGAGCCCTGCGTGGGGGAGCTGTTTCTGCTGAGGTCTTCCATGGATCTGTCCAGGGGTCTCCCCTTGTCGGACCCAGGACTCCCATTGTCAGTGCTGTCCATATCATACCTGGAGCCACACACATGAAAACAGTTAAACTGTGGAATTCACAGGCACAAGGTGTAGTGAGGGCTGCCAACTTGGACAGTTATAAAAGGGCATTGTAGACCTTCATGGAAAGAAAAACCAGCAACTGGTATTACTCAAAATGTCTATATGTGACTTCCAGTATTTGTGGCAGCGTGCTTTCACAAGATGGAGGGAACAACTATACTCAGATCTTGCTTGTAGGCTTCTCATAGGCAACTGCTCATCCACTGGATGAAGTAGGTGCTAAACTAGATATGCCTTTCTACTGATCCAGCAGGACTTTTTTTACATTGTGATGCTAGATGTGCATCAAAAGGTGAATTTGAAGGAAAGCAGTGGGATTGATAGAAAAAGAGGTTGCCACTAGAAGCATGACTGCATTGTGGATTTAAGAGGTTTGAAACTTATTTAACTACCAAGAACCATACACATCCTTCAAAAGCAGCATTCAAGCAAACATGGTTCTTGCCTAGTTTCTTATCTAGCACAGAGAGCGAGATTGCTCTCCAAGGTACTGATGTAGCTCTATTGAGATCATGTCTCAGCCTTCCCCTCTTTAGATGCTCTTGAAAAGAGTGTTTCACTTCTCATGATTATGTAGAAAAATTTGAAAATATGTAGGCAGAGGAATTATGCAGGTGATATTTGTTTGCTTTTGTGTTTCCTTGTTCTTCATGGAGATATTATGCAAAATAAGCAAGTATAATAGTTCAATTTGAATAGAATGTCAGTCCTCCATGGTATCACTTCTAGGAAGAAACGAATGAGAAAGGACTGTGGCTTAAAGCCTGAGCACTTTGCACAGAATCAGATGCTCATTTCACTGTGGGACAGTCATGAATTCCTTAAAGCTCTCTTGTCTCCTACGGCTCTTCCAGATGGAGGTTTTTTAAAGCTACCAATCAAACAGCAGCATGCATACTTTTGACTGGTTGCTCTGGAATTATAGAATGGACTTTAGTCCATCTATCCATATTTAACTGTTTTTTGAAGGAAAAAAAGATGGAAAAAGCAGTGGGAAAGCATTGAAATTCACAAATGGAAGAAAACAACACCTGTCCCCACTGTATTTGGTAGAGCGATTTCACAATAAAAGTTCTGCCTTAATAACATCCTATCACTGCAGTAAATGGAATAATTCTCAAACTAGGAATTACTTCCTATAAAGTTAGCAGTGAGTGAAACAGATGGGTGAACAGCGAAATCCCACCCCCAACATTCCTTAAGGTTCAATTTTTCCAAGCCTGTACAATTATGTGAAGCAGCAGTAAGGACAAAACTACATGGCACTATTTCTTTCCTCTCTCCCTCCACCTCGTTCTGCCATCCATTTTTCTCTCTGCCATCCCTTCTCTCTCCCACCTGGCAGGACCCCAGAGAATGGTGCGTGCTTTTGCAGGGGGCTCTGAAGATTGGCCAAGGGCTGCCTGAAAAGAGGCCACTGTTGCCTACTGCTAGTTTTCCAGGACTTTTTTTGACGTGTCAGGAGCAACTTGAGAAACTGCAAGTTGCTTCTGGTGTGAGAGAATTGGCCATCTGCAAGGACGTTGCCCAGGGGATGCCCGGATGTTTTGATGTTTTTACCATCCTTGTGGGAGGCTTCTCTCATGTCCCCGCATGGAGAGCTGGAGCTGATAGAGGGAGCTGATCTGCGCTCTCCCCGGATTCGAACCTGCGACCTATCGGTCTTCAGTCCTGCCAGCACAGGGGTTTAACCCACCGCGCCACCAGGGGGCGCAGGACTGAAAGATGGTGATGGTGCTAGAAGTATGTTAATCCCTTGAACAGAGCTCTTTGCAGAAACCTGTCTTCTTGTACCATTGACTGCATGCAATCAACTCAATTAATGGAAATTGCATTAAGTCACTTTTGTTATGTGCATTATTTTTGTCTTGCCACGCCATGCACAAACAGTGGAAGCCTAGGCAACAAGGAATAATAGTTCTCAAGAATGATAAGCTGACATTACATATCCAGGTATTGTACCTGGAATGATGTCATATGGAGTGAAATTTGTTTTCCAGCATGAAACACAATTTTGGCCAAATAACATCTAGCGTTTGTGTAATTCCTTGTGTCCACTAGGACTTGGAGAAATTATTTCCATTCTTGGCAATTACATAATATCAGTGGATCATTTCAGAAGCTCTCCACAGCTGTTCAGGCCTAAACCAATGCCAAAGAAGTGATTTTAAATAACAGAAAGGAAGGATCATAAAACAGGGGTTAGATTTCACAAATTGGAGCTTTCAAAGACAGTTTGTCACCTGGACGATATATAAAATGAAATGTATGGCCAAGATCCAAAGAAGTAAGGAAAATTAGCTCTGTGGGTCCAAGTGTGTTTTAAGACTTCTCTTACTTTTACAAAATAATTTCCATGAATGTCATATAGGCAAACCATTTTGATTAATTGAAAGAAGTTTCAACACATTCTGCATCAGCACAAGAATTATTATTGTATTATTATATTTATTTATAAGTTATTTTCCTCTTAAAAGAGCTTCAAAGTGACAAATGTTCACCTGGTAAGTGTAAGGTACTGAGACAAATCAGCTCTCTTACTCCTAGCCTTCCCTGTACATGTAATGCTGAATACATATACATACTGAAATTCCATGCTGGATCACAGCCCACAATAGTGGTGAAACATGGAAAGCCCATCACAATCCTCCTTTAATTCTCAATTATCCACACTCTTCCAGCTAACAAACAGCAGTGACTTACGTGACAGAGCACTGGGCAAAGGCAAGGTAGTCCACCAAGACATCAAGGCCCTTGTTTTCTTCATTCAGGAATTCCTGGACCCAGCTGGAAGTGGAAGGAAGGAGAAAAAACATGTAACGCCATTTCTGTTTCAATGAAAAATAGGAAAAAGCACACTGGACTTTCCCCAGTTATCTTTCTCTTATCTTATTCCAGAATGCCATGCCCATATTTAGTTAATTTACTTGTCAATGCTTAGGAACTGCTTTTATAGGGCATTTTTGTAATAGACAAGAAAGTTAGTCCACTCCCCAGGCGCTCACCCTTTTGGGATGCTAACACTTCCCCAAAGGTTTATTATGTATATGTAGACAGATAAAAATGCTTGTGACATATCAACCTTTCAAAGTTATTGTCAAAGGTTTTCATGGTCAGAATTGCTGAGTTGTTGTGTGGTTTCTGGGCTGTATGTATGTGTTCTAGCAGCATTTTCTCCTGATGTTTCACCTGCATCTGTGGCTGGCATCTTTAAGATAGATGCCAGCCATAGATGCAGGTGAAATATCAGGAGAAAATGCTGCTAGAACACATACATACAGCCCAGACACCACACACCTTTTCGAAGTTACTTCGCAAGATTTCTTGACCCCCCGCCCCCAATCTCAATGTGTGGATTGGTAGTTCCTAAACCAAAGAGGGATTTTTGAGCTCCATCCCAACTCTCACATTCTTCCATTAGATCAGACTTGCATGGCTCTCCCCCTCCCGCATTATGCTCAATGGTATTCATGGTCATTTTTCCCCATGAAAACACTTATTTACACCGTGAATCATGAATAATGTCATCTGGGTGAATTTCACCCATTACACAAGCATGGCCATCCTTTGCATGAAAAATAATCACAAATATAAACTGGCTGGCACTTGAAATTCTACAGAAAACGAGGTGTGGATTCTGCTACCAGAAAATTCACAGTGCTATTGCTAGGGTACAATGGATTGTAATTACAGTAATGTACACTTCAGGTTTTTTTTCTTTTTTTTCAGACTATATAATTTGGATTTGTTTTTATTCTGATTTGTAGTCATTGCAATCCATTTCTCATATGAATACTGTGCCTTGATTTCATACAGTGCTGACCTTTTCAACTAACTTGGAGCTGGGGAATGTATATTCCTGCGGATACTGTTAGACCACAACTGTTTTAATTTCTCACTACTGGCTTTGGTGGGTATGGCTGACGGGAGCTGCAATCCAAAAACACCTGGAGTGACACACATTCCCCAGCCCTGTGACATCTGATCCTCTTGCAGATGACATGGTCTAATAACAAAACAACCTGAACAGTCTCAGGTTTCTCTAAGGGTCAACGTAAATTTGACCTCAATCATACAATTTGTAATTGCTCAATATTTTTTCGCAATGGTAGCTAAATCTACCCAGGTAAATAGGACCATGCTCTGACCTACAAGAAGCACTGCCTGAATATCAAGCAAAAGGTGGGTGCTAGAAAACAATATCATACGAAAGCTGACTGGCACAACCTGGGGATCACAACCAGACACAGTGAAGACATCTGCCCTTGTGCTATGCTACTCTGCTGCTGAATATGCATGCCCAGTGTGGAACACATCTCACCACGCTAAAACAGTGGATGTGGCTCTTAATGAGACATGCCACATTATCATGGGGTGTCTGTGCCCTACACCACTGGAGAAATTACACTGTTTAGCCGGTATTGCACCACCTGACATCCACCGGGAAGTAGCAGCCAATAGTGAAAGGACCAAGGCAGAGACATCTCCAGCTCATCCCTTGTTTGGGTATCAGCCAGCACGTCAATGACTTAAATCAAGAAATAGTTTTCTAAGATCTACAGAGACACTCGCTGGAACACCTCAGCAAGCGAGAGTCCAAAAGTGGCAGGCTCAAACCCAGAACCTCAATCAATGGCTGATACCAAATGAGAGACTCCCCCCTGGGCACACAGGAAACTGGGCGACTTGGAAGGCGCTGAACAGACTGTGCTCTGGCACCACGAGATGCAGAGCCAACCTTAGGAAATGGGGCTACAAAGTGGAATCCATGACATGCAAGTGTGGAGAAGAGCAAACCACTGACCACCTGCTGCAATGCAACCTGAGCCCTGCCACATGCACAATGGAGGACCTTCTTGCGGCAACACCAGAGGCACTCCAAGTGGCCAGATACTGGTCAAAGGACATTTAATCACTACCAAGCTTGCAAACTTTGTGTTTTTTCTGTTTGTTTGTTTGTTTTGTTAAAAATGTAATACAAATGTCTGGTTGCTCCTGACACGATAAATAAAAATAAATAAAAATTCATTTACTGTATTTATATCCTACACTTCTCACCCTGAAGGGGACTCAGATTGGCCTTGCAATCAGCAGCAATTTGGTGTTGTTTGTGAATGTTGTCAACATGGGACAGAAAATGGAAGAGAATGATTTTAAAGTCAAAAAGTACATCCTAGCCAATATATGGAGCACATGCAGATTACAAAAAACGGGTCATGAGAAAAAAAGCAACTTGGTTCTCTTATCACAGGACGACAACACACATGCGCACATCTCCTGCAGTACAGGTACCGTGGCCCCCTCCTGTGTACAATTTGCTCTTTCTTTTGCACTATGTCAGGCACAACAATACATTTTGTCACAAAACGCTGGCACGTCCTGAGCATGCTGGTTTCCACTGTTCGCTTTTACATTCTGACTTGCTTGGCAGGCAATCAATCCAGGGAGATAAATGCTTCTCCGTCTAAGCTGTTAATTAGCCTGCATACAATACTGTCGTTAATGATGTCAGCTGCTGCCTCCAACATGCTAGGGTCACCTTCTCGGCAGAGGGCCCAGACTTTTGCCACAAACCTCAAATTGCTCCCATAGGGCACAAAAAGGGATGCCAGGGTGATGGGGGCATGGCTCCACTATTGGCAAAGGAAGTTGGGTAGTTAATCAACCAAAGCCACACTGATATGTATGTTCACTTATTTTTGTAGCGTCAGGAGTGACTTGAAAAACTGCAAGTTGCTTCTGGTGTGAGAGAATTGTCCGTCTGCAATGATGTTGCCCAGGGGACACCTGAATGTTTTTGGATGTTTTTAGCATCCTTGTGGGAGGCTTCTCTCATGTCCCCATAAGGAGCTGGAGCTGATAGAGAGAGCTCATTTGTGCTCTCCATGGTTGGATTCGAACCGGCAAACTTCAGGTCAGCAACCCAACCTTCAAGTCATCAATCCTGCTGGCACAAGGGTTTAACCCACTGCGCCACCGGGGACTCCTTCACAAGAACCATTAACATTTAAAGTCATGTTAACCAACTCTTAATAGACTTTTGATTTTTGTTCTGCTTGAAGGTACCAAGGCGCGCATTTGTTCTACTTACTTTTTATTTTGTATCCCTCCTCCCATTTTTATATACTATTTGTTACAAAACAGGATGTTATGTATATTTTTCTTCTCTTTCTAGCTGGGGGTAGAAGGGGAAGAGAAATATACAAATCTAACTCATAGATTAAGGGCAGACAACTTTCAATCTTTGCTCCCTACGATCTTCCAGTTTAGACCCTGCATAGTTCTTGATTCTAAAGATCCCATCATGATGATGTTTGCTGGCTACCATCCTACCAGTAAAAAGGAGACTATTCAGTACAATTCAATGCCTAAGCTATTTTACAAGAAGACTCCTTCCCTCTAGGTGATATACATTCTGCCAGTCTCATATGAGAAACTGTGGAAGGGGGGGGGGTTCCTCCTTGCATGCGAGAGATGTCTTTTTGGGAGATGTCTCCTGCAGCTTTAATGCTTGTGTAGAAAAGGGAATTTCAATGGGTGTAGCTTGTTACTTGGTTACATGGGAAACAACACATACTAAAGTTCCTGTTCAAGACAACCGTTAAAGGTACAGGAAGTGTTCAGTTTCATAACTAAACTCTGAAGGATTTACACATCTGTGAGAGAGCGAGTGTGTGTCTATGTGCCTTCAGGTTGCTGCAGACGTATGATAATCCAATTAATTTCATAGGGTTTTTGTAGGTAAAAAATACTCAATTTATTTATTATTTATTTACAGTATTTATATACCACCTTTTTTACCCCTGGGGGGACTCAAAGCGGTTTTACACATAAATAATGGCAAAATTCAATGCCTTACATTGGGCACCGATACGATGCCAATATAAACAATTACAATAGAAAAAACACAATTATACATAAATCATAATTTAAAAATACATCAACAAGCATTAAAACAATAAAACAGTCTCATCAGTCAAATTGCCATTCCAGTCAATGTCCCTCTAAAATGCTACATACTCAAGACATGGTTTTACCAGTTCCTTCCTCTGAAATAATACCTGCAGAATCTGGTATGCATTGATAGTTTACTTTTGTGAAAATTGCATGGACAAATTAGGAGACCCATTGCTTTGCTTCATGGATTTTAAGAATTGAGAGCATTGGATGGTTGGTCCTTTTGAACAGAGTCATTTTAGCACAGTCCAAAAGTGGCAGGCTGAAACCCAGAGCCTCAATCAATGGCTGATACCCAATGAGAGACTCCCCCGAGCACACAGAAAACTGGGCGACTTGGAAGGCGCTGAACAGACTGCGCTCTGGCACCACGAGATGCAGAGCCAACCTTAAGAAATGGGGCTACAAAGTGGAATCCACAACATGCGAGTGTGGAGAAGAGCAAACTACAGACCACCTGCTGCAATGCAACCTGAGCCCTGCTACATGCACAATGGAGGACCTCCTTGGGGCAACACCAGAGGCACTCCAAGTGGCCAGATACTCGTCAAAGGACATTTACCAAGCTTGCAAATTCTGTGTTTTGTCTGTTTTTTTTTTTGTTAAAAATGTAATACAAATGTCTGGTTGCTGATGACATGATAAATAAATAAATAAATAAGCACAGATTGAGAAAATGTTAATAAGAATTGTTTGCATTATCTTGTTCTTGGACTTGAGGCAAGCAATCTTTTGGGGAGCTACCACACTCTTGACATGCCAGTCACATAAAGAATGAGCTATTAAGTAATTTTTTCATTACTATTTCCTAACGTGAACTACCTCACACACTTTAGTAAAGGCCTTCCTTCATGATTACATACTTGCATGCTTATCCCAAGTTACAGGCAAACAACCACTATTATCTAAATTTTACTTGAATCTAACACTCATCTTTTTTGGCTAAATTACCTTGCCAAAATCAGGGTGCACATTAGATTTGTGTAATAGGGTAATCTTAGTGCTGAGCCAAAGCAATAGGGGAAGCAGCTTCAGGAGCACCTGGAACTTCTATTTGAAATATAAAATCTGTAATTTAATTGTCATAGCTCAGTACTATGTAATCCTGAGATTTGTAGTTTAATGAAGCATTCGGACTCTTTGGCAAAGAAGGCTCAAGGCCTTGTCAAACTACAGCCCCCATAAACCCATAGCATTGAACCAAGGCAGTTAAAGTGGATTCATTCTGTAGCATAGATGCATCCTGAGGTTTCTTTACAATTGCTGAAAGCTTTGGTGTTCTAACACAATTGTTTTTAAAGAAGGAATTCTAAACAGGAACCAACTGTAAAGGGCATATTACAAAGAATGCGCCTTTTGCTGCTGCACATTACATTCACCAGCAAATACTTTTTTTTTTGTTTCAGAGTTTTAAAAATTGAGGTGTGCATTACATTCAATTGTACATTAGATGCTGTATATGAATAGCAAAAGAGGGTCAAATCATGGTTATACTGTTATCTAACCTTCTCTTGCTCATCACAAATGGCTGAAATGTGATCAAAATATAATGAGTGGCACAACTGTTGTTAGATCTAGTCAGAACCTCTGTTGCTACTGCCACCGAGGAAGTAGAAATTTATGAGACCTTTGACTGTGTCTCACCATACAAGAGACTTTGGTCAGTAAGTGTGGACAATGTTAAGCTCTTTGCAGCTCTTCCTCAGTTGTTCTAGATCTTAGGAAGACACTGAATAGTCTTATGTGGAGTGTGGAAGCAACAAGTTACAAAGGACATTTTAATTTGGGAAGAAGGTGTAGTGGACTAAACAGCATTGCCATGCCTCCCTCTCTTCTACTATATATTGTTAATGTTGAGGACAATGGATAAAATTTCCTTTTTATATCTGAAATGCCATTGTTCAAGGGTCATGGGGAATTTTTTGTTCATTTTTGTATTTTTAAACACAAATGCAACTCATAGTTCTAGTGGCAAGATTTTAATGAAAATGTTCACATATATCGACATATGTGAATAAATTACCCATTTTACTTAGCAATCTCAAGTTCTGGTTTTACTGTGAGGCAGAGACTAGGCCCTTTAATGATGACAGCAGTTCTCCAAAACCACAGATAAGCTTTTCTGTGGCCCTTCTGGCAAAAATAAAAACGTGTTTACATAAAGTTAAGTGTAGCCTAACACATATGTAGAGCATCACCATGTTGAAGAAGGCTGCAACAAGCAGTACAGTTTGAGACAGAAGAGTCTGAAGTCTGATAGGTGAGTCACTGGCCCATATATCCTGAGGACACCAGATGTGCTGATCTTGGAAAATAAGCAGGATCAGCCCTGGTTAGTACTTGGGTGGGAGATTGCTTATGAATTCTATAAGATGTATTTCAGAGGAAAGCATTGACAAAGTACTTCTTGAGGATTTCTTGCATAAGAAAACCTTACAAAATTCATGGGGTCACCAGATAACTTGAAAGTAGATACACACACAAAAGCTAATCAGAAATTATCTGAAAGGGGAAAGCATTTTCTATTAGATTTGTGGGGTATTTTCATGCCCCAGTTTTCCTATCTGCTGCTCCATTTCTTGCAAAACTCTTGGAAAGAACCCAATTCTTCTTTGTCCTAGAAGATTGGAGCATGGACTATATCATCCTTCCTTTGGTTTGTTTGACTGCAGCCCCTTCCCTTTTCCCCATTTGTCTTCATGGAACATGCAAAAAGAAGCATAGTAGGAAAAAATATCCAAGAACAAAACATTGTCCCTCTGCACAACAAACACAATTCTCATTGGACACGGTGGCTGGGAGGTTCTGAGAGTTGTAGTCCTAAAATGAAACTTTTACAAGCCCTGGGTGGAAGGCAATTCATCAAGATGATAACTGGCTTTCTCAAGTATCTCTAAACAAAAGGAAGGATAAGAGCATCACTCTATTCCCCCTTTTACACTGCCATATAATCCAGATTATCAAAGCAGACAATGCAGATTATCTTCTTTGAACTGAATTATATAAGTCTACAATGCCAATATAATCCAGTTCAAAGAAGATAATGTGGATTTTATATGGCAGTGTAAAAGAGGCCTATTTGTCACCTAAATAAGTGGCTTTATATCCATGAAAGCTCACACTAAAAGAAAAACCATTAGTTAAACCTTCTGCTACATTCCCTTTCTCCCCTCTCACTTCCTTCCTCCTTTTGAATTATTATTTTAATTGCAGATTGGTAGGGCTGACCCATGGAAGGATTTTTAGCTAGTAAGCAAGCATCAGAAACATTGGACATTGGTACTAACCCAATATAATTTGTCCTCAGAGATATCTCTAACTCTCGAAGCACCTGGGTGGACTCTTGAACCCGCCTCTTGAACTGGACGAAGAAAGAAACAGATATACAAATTAAAAGCCTTGCATACAAAATACAGTTATTGCCAAAAATATTGTATATGTTATTTCAACACATAGAATACATTTTGAACCTGGGTTTGAAAAAATAGCAACAATTGGGTGAGAAAATATATCAAACACTGGGAATGGCATGGGTGCATTTAAGCAGTCCTTGCAACATCCACTGAAATAAAGACATTATCCTTTCCATTCTGTTTTCCATTTATATCAGATATATGGATTATTATTAAAAGCCAGAGTCAAAACCAGCAACACTGAAAGAAAATAAATAAAGTTGTTCAAGTAAATATGTTGACTCTCATTTAAGAAATCCAGTTTTGACTATGGAAATGGTTGAGTTGCTTGTAGGAATAAACCACCTAAGAGAATCCATCCCTTTCACAAATGATAGTACTGCATGAATGTTTTGGTATTTAAACATAGGGTATCTATTTCTACTCAGCCCCTTTTGACACACTCTTTCAGTAAATGATGCAAATTAGACACATTTGCAGAAACTGATGGGATTAGAAGCGCCAATTAATACATGCATGGCTAGATGCTTTGCATTCTGCCTTCATAAGTTGTGCTCATTATAAATGGTATATCTAGGTGTGTAACCTAGACAAGAAATCAACATTATGCAGTTTACGTTTTCTGAACTCTGGAGTGGTATATAAAAAAGCAGCTTTCAAATGCTAATCTTCCCAAAATGGGAATGACAGCATGCAAAATGGCCATTTTGGCTCACTACTCAGGGGATATGAGGAAAGAAAAAGTGGCACACAGAGAAGCCATGTGAATTGTAAAAGCTTTCTGTATATATTTCAGGTTCCAATATTAATGTCAAAAATACATAGTATGATTTTACATAGGATTTCTGCTACATTCGAACAGTAAATACAAATATCACTTAACTGCACATGTATTTTTTCACTTGGTAGGAAACAAGAAATCAGTATTGGGTAAGGCAAGTGTATTAGAGAAAGAAAATAAATGTTTACTAGAGAATATCACATTATCAAAAGAGTGGGGTGGGAAAATCAGGGGTGAAAGTAGAATATGCTTCTGGTTATATCAGCCAGTTATAAGTCACCTTTCCACTGAATCCACCAGAGTCCAGATAGCCCTTCAGTTTCTGGATATAGGCAGAAGGTGGGTTTTTCACTTGAAACCTTTCCTGCAGATGGACATAAAAGAGACGGTAGACAAGATATAACATTACTTTTATTAGAGTTAGGGAAAATTGTGCTGGGAAGGCAGAAGAATCCTATGAGAACATGTATGCAAAAGACTAGCTCTGCAAGATGTCTATACCTGTTGATTACAGTGAGCAGGCAGCTACCAATAATAGGTATCTCCTAGGTAAACACTACAGATGTTTAGGGGCCCAAACATTAGCATATGGCAGCTCTTATGTACTTACTGACCAGTAAGATTTAATAAGTATGCAATGAAAAAGGAATAACCACACTACACAAAATGCATACTGACATTTTCCATTTCAAGATAATCCAAACTCTGCATTACACCCACTGTACATGTAAGCCTTCACTTTCCAACTAGATCAAGAAAGTTATCTTATATTTGGTCAGATCACTAGTTCCTCTTGCCCAATATTGCTTACACTGACTGAAAGAGGTTCTCCAGGCATGATTATTTCCCAGCCTAATGTGAAGGTGCTGGGATGAACTTGAGAAATGTTGTATACAAAAGACAGTCTAGGACAGACACAGGCAAACTTTGGCCTTCCAGGTGTTTTGGACTTCAACTCTCAGAATTTCCAGCCAGCTTACCAGTTGTTAGGAATTGTGGGAGTTGAAGTCCAAAGCACCTGGAAGGCTTAGGTTTGCTCATGCCTGCTCTAGGATAAGTACAAATCATGCATACCAGTCAGTGACAACCCTCAGCCTCCTTCCCCAAATAATATCCTACTGCAAATAATGTGTTTTTGAAAATCGAGAAATATTTGTGAATGTGACATGAATAATTTTTGGCTATCTGTGCATAATTTATTACAGCTGTAGAATGTAAGGAATAGGTAAAGTTTCGCCTTCCCCACTGTGTCCCCAGATTATATTTAACTAAAGGTCCCAGGATTGGGAAGTAAAAAGTCTAGAGGTAGCTGGGTGCTGAAATCCAACATCAGGAGAACATCAGGTTGGGAAATGCTGTCTAAAGCTACACACGCAACTGTAGGTTTCCTGTAGTCCTTTTTTCCCCTAATAAGGTTGCACCATGCTTACCCAAATGTGACACAATGTTGCTCAAGAGCTACTATGTGCTGACTTTGATCTCCCAACCTTGTTGATTTCCTGAACTATGAGGTAAGCATCTGGTGTAGCTGCTGTTGTTTTTGAAGATCTCTCTTACAGTAGAACTCACACTTTTTCACACCACCCTAATGTTCAGACATCAAATCCTAGTCTTGCAACTGGTTGAATAACCATTTTCTTTTTCTGTGATCTGGCGGCAAAAAAAAGCCAATGGGATTTTGGCCTGCATCAATAGGAGTCTAGTGCCTAGATCCAGGGAAATCATGCTGCTCCTCTATTCTCCCTTGGTCAGACCACACCTGGAATATTGTGTCCAATTCTGGGCACCACAATTGAAGAGAGATATTGACAAGCTGGAATTTATTCCAAAGGAGGGTGACTAAAATGATCAAGGGTCTGGAGAACAAGCCCTATGAGGAGCAGCTTAAAGAGCTGGGCATGTTTAGCCTGAAGAAGAGCAGGCTGAGAGGAGACATGATAGCCATGTATAAATATGTGAGAGGAAGTCATAGGGAGGAGGGAGCAAACTTCTTTTCTGCTGCCCTGGAGACTAGGACGCGGAACAATGGCTTCAAACTACAAGAAAGGAGGGTTTTTTGTCGCGTCAGGAGTGACTCCTGGTGTGAGAGAATTTGCCATCTGCAAGGACGTTGCCCAGGGGACGCCCGGATGATTTTGATGTTTTTATCATCCTTGTGGGAGGCTTCTCTCATGTCCCCGCATGAGGAGCTGGAGCTGATAGAGGGAGCTCATCCGCCTCTCCCCGGATTTGAACCTGCGACCTGTCGGTCTTCAGTCCTGCTGGCACACGGGTTTAACCCACTGCGCCACCAGGGGCTCAGAAAGGAGATTCCATCTGAACATTAGGAAGAACTTCCTGACTGTGAGAGCTGTTCAGCAGTGGAACTCTCTGCCTGGAGTGTGGTAGAGGCTCCTTCTTTGGAAGCTTTTAAACAGAGGCTGGATGGCCATCTGTCAGGGGTGCTTTGAATGCAATATTCCTGCTTCTTGGCAGGGGTTTAGACTGGATGGCCCATGAGGTCTCTTCCAACTCTATGATTCCATGATTCTAGGGGGCTGACGACTCTAGAATGAGCCAGAGTGAGGTAGTCAACAGTGGGAAGCTGGAAACTGTTATTGCTACTGCATTTTTACTATTAGAGATGGAAAGTAGTGACTGTGGGATCTACTGTCTCAAATCTAAAACAACTTGGTATTTGGCATTATATACCTCTGATGTGGAATAAAAGGTGCCAGGTGCTGCTCTGGCTCAAGCAGCAAAAACCAAGAGTTATTTTTTTTATTATATGTCATAAAACCAATAAAATTTTTAAAAACAATTCCCATAACCATTTGGCTAAAACAGCCTATGATGGGAGTCTGAGACTTGTAGCCCATAAAACGACCTTTCCAAGCTCTGTTCTACACCATATCTAAAATCTATTTGAGGTGAAAAATTAGGAGAGCTGGAGTAGTCATTAAAAATGTAGCCAATAGGTGGCAGCAGTCACTTTAAACAGCACCCAGAAGCCAGCAGCAGCTTGCTTGTTGCCTTGGTAGCGTGGCCCCAACTCGCCCTAGACATAAGTGACCGCAATTCAAGAGGGCTCCGCTGTGGTAACAACCATTCGCTGGCTGTAGTGACAATGACAGCAATGACGGTCTGGCCTTGGTCCACTTATCTGAGCCCAAGTAGAGTCAGCTAAAAAGGTGGACACAGGAGGTAGCCCTGCACCAGGCTGCACTCTTGTCTTCAGCAAGGGCCAGATTGGCTGCCCATCTTCAGTTGTACTAGAGATTCTTCCACATGTCATGAATATATATGAAACTGTAATAATGCACACTTTACAGTCTGAAGAGTTTTTACACCAGGAAGTAATAATAAAACAATGGGAGGCAATAAACCAATTAAGGGTGAAGAAACCTTAATTGGTTCAATGCCTCTGGCCCAAGAAGGTTCCTTTTTGAGTTATTGAGTATGGGGGACCTGGAGTCCCCGTTGGTACAGTGGGTTAAACCCCTGTGCTGGCAGGATTGAAGGCCGAAAGGTTGCAGGTTCAAATCCAAGGAGAGCGCAGATGAGCTCCCTCTATCAGCTCCAGCTCCCCATGCGAGGACATGAGAGAAGCCTCTCACAAGGATGGTAAAAACATCAAAACATCCAGGTGTACCCTGGGCAATGTCCTTGCAGACGGCCAATTCTCTCATACAAGAAGCAACTTGCAGTTTCTCAAGTCGCTCCTGACACAACAACAACAAAAAAAGTGTGGAGGGACCTGCAGAGCTTTTCCTCAATGTGTCAGAGACTTTTTTCATGCCAGGAGCGATTTGAGAAACTGCCAACGGCTTCTGGTGTGAGAAAATTGGCCATCTGCAAGAATGTTTGATGTTTTACCTTTCTTGTAGGAGGCTTCTCTCATGTCCCCGTATGGGGAGCTGGAGCTGACAGAGGGAGCTCAACCCTCTCTCCCTGGATTCGAACCACTGACCTGTCAGTCAGCAGTCCTGCCGGCACAAGGTTTTAACCCACTGCTCCACTGGGGGCTCCTGTCAGAGACTAGTGCCATATCTGTGCCCATTAATTACAATAATTTATTTCCTTCCTAGAAACCTGCTGCAGACTATCAATAGCAAGTGGACAAGCACAGTCTACAGAGACCACCACTTTCAGTAGCAATGGCTTACACCAGAGTGGCCCTATATCACAAGCCATTCAAGCCCTATATCACCATGAGGAAGTTCTTCCCAATGTCTAGGTGGACCCTTTCTCCTGCAAACTGAATCCATCGTTCTGTGTCCTAGTCTCCAGAGCAGCAGAAAACAAGCTTGCCTCTCCTCGGTATGACATCCTTTCAAAGATTTAAACATGGCCATCGTGTCTCCTGTCAGCCTTTTTTCCTCCAAGCTAGACATACTCAACTGTTTAAGCCATTTCTCATACGGCCTGGCTTCCAAAATGTCTTGATGGACTGAATCTATGGGTCTGACCCAAAAGTTTCGCTCTCCATTGACTTCCATAGAACCCCAAATTTCTGCACTTTGCTCATTTTCTGTGAGCTGCAATGTATTCCCGCTGCCTCTTCACAGGCACCCCGTTTTCTTCTACCAACAGCTTTACACCCTCCCCTCGCCTCTTTCTCCACAGACACATTCACACATAAAGTGATGTTACATTTATATCTTCACAAATATGAAGTCTGCAAGGAGGACATTCCTATTTCCCACACACGTTGCCTGCCACTTCCTACGTGATCCCCGACGAGTGGGGACTGATTTTTCCCTGCACTTGTCACTTGCTTGCACTTAAAATGAGTCACAGCGGCCACTGGCAGGCCCCAATTCACCAGGGCCCTGTGACCTGTTTCTCCTGTGCAGGGAAGTTAGGAAGGGCCTGTCTTCTCCTTCCCCACTGCCCACTCACTGTGAAAACACCTTTAAAATCACCAGAGGTTTCTATTTCAGACACTCTTTCCCCCATGGCAGAACTGTCTTAGCAGAACTGTGAAGGGCTGAATCCCACACAGACATCTGCACAGCCCACGGTGAGTCACTCCTCTCCTCTTTTTCTATCTTCTCAGCATCATTCACAAGCCTGTTCCTTTATTAACTGAGAAATATATAGTTTCACAGCATGAACGGGTGTCATATTTTCTCATGAGTCTCTGCCAGCAGCTTGTGCTAAGAAGTGACCCTGTCTCTGAGCAGCTCATTCCTGGATCCTCAGAAAGGGAAGGGGGTAACTATCTGCCCTGTTTCTGTCAGGCTGGAGACAGATTAGAATTTCTTTCCTCCATCCCACAAACTGCTGAAGACAATTTGGAAGAGAAGTCTGCTTATAATAGTATAAATCCAGTTTTGGAGGGTTTCTAGATCAAATAGCTTTGGCAGGTTTTTTATTGTTGCAGAATCTGCAAACTCTGTTTCACCAGAGTTGGAAGTGGAATGAAAGAAATATAGGCATATGCTATGGAGAAGTAATTATTCTCTCTAAATTATTTTAGGTTTATTAAAATTGACCTTATGTGTACAGACATTCCTTTGTATTCACAGATTCTATCATTCATGATTTGAAAATACTACCCCCACCTCCAAAATCCAAAAAAAGGAAAGATTGATTTTTGCCATTTTATATATGGGAAAAACCATTTTATTATGCCACTAGCTGTCCCCTGCCACGCATTGCTGTGGCCGTCTGTGTATTATGTGTTTTGTGTGTGTATATATATGTGTATATATTTGTGTATATGTGTATATATGTGTGTTTGCATATATGTGTGTGTGTGTGTGGTTTTGCACATATGTTGTAATGTATTTTTTATTTTTTGGCTTTTTAAGTCTCTTCTGGTGTGCTTTCCAGTGTTTTTATGAGTGATGGTCACTCATAATAATAATAATAATAATAATAATAATAATAATAATAATAATAATAATATTTTATTTATATACCACCCTATCTCCCTGAGGGGACTCAGAGCGGTTCCCAGGTAAAAATCACAAAACATACAAAGTAAAAACAACATAACTATAAGATTAACAAAACAAAATATGCATAAAAATTGTCGCCATAACACACATATATTAAAAGTAATCCTGCCTGTTCAAGGCAATTTAAAATAATTTAAAAGGCCGGGCCAGGATTTGTGAAAACCCAAAAAATTCTAGGGGGCCCAGGAATTAAATGCAATGTTATGGCAGGCAACAATAATATTAGGTATGGATCTGTGGCTGTTCATTCCGGGACCGATTAGAGGAAAGAATCTGGGTAATTGGTAGGAAGAATAAGGCCGTATTCGACAATGTATAGGGCTGAGTTAGAACTGGCCATTTTCAAAGGCTTGTTGAAACAACCAGGTCTTCAATCTGTTATGAAAGGAGGGGAGGGATGGGGCCTGTCTTATTTCCCTTGGAAGGGCATTCCAGAGGCGGGGGGCCACCACTGAGAAGGCCCTCTCTCTCGTCCCCACCAACCGCGCTTGAGACGGTAGTGGGACCGAGAGGAGGGCCTCCCCGGAAGATCTTAGAGTTCGCGCCAGTTCAGAGAAGGAGATGCGATCGCGGAGATAGGCGGGGCCTGAACCGTTTAGGGCTTTATAGGTGACACACTTATTGAGGGTTTCTGTAGCACATAGTAAGCCTGGTATCGTGCTGTTAAATTTACAGATGCTCTTGTTCCCAAATCAAATGCTGATCTGATGCCTAATTCAGGCTTTCCTCTGTGCTTCAGATGGGATATCTGATGTTTTAAAATGGATTACCATTTTATTTTTTATGGCTTACTGTGTTGCCTGAATGTTTACTTAAAATTTATTTGCTTCCTTAAAAGAAAGTAATTTTTTACAGTTAAAGGAAACCCTGCTCTGACAGTGAAGTGAAGGATAGATTTGTGTTGTCATAGGAATGTGTCAGTCAGGAACAGTGTGCAGTCATCATCTAATGTGAAATGGCAGAACAGATTTTTACTAAGCACGATCCTGCAGAGAACCTTGTACCTATGAAACAAAAACACAGTGAATATATGATCTCTGCTGAAATTATCAAGATTCTTATACACTTTTTGCCCTCAGTCTCACTGGGTGTTCATTCAAGAGTACTAATATAAGGTATAAAGGAACAGCGTAAGTAACGATTCTAACATGAGAAATGAAAGGAGAACCCCTTGATATAGTAAAGGCTTAGTGATTCAGAATCCTGCTGTGATGTTAACATTATCTCAACTTTTAGAATACATAGAAAGTAATTCATATTAAGATAACCCACCAGTTCACCTAGCTCATTATTGTCTCTGATTAACAACAATTCTCTGTGATCTCAATTAGGGGTCTTTTTCACTTTAGATCAGGCATGGGCAAACTTCAGCCTTCCAAGTGTTTTGGACTTCAACTCTCGGCTGTTAGGAATTGTGGGAGTTGAAATCCAAAATACCTGGAGGGCCAAAGTTTGCCCATGTCTGCTTCAGATGCAAGGAGGATGCTACATGGGGCCTTCTGCATGTATTACTGAACTATAACCCTTCCTCTTGTTGTTGATGATGATGGGTGTTTTCAACTCATTTTTGACTTATGATCTTAAAGAACAGGGTTTTCTTGACAAGATTTGAGAGGGGTTGCCTTTGCTTTCATCTGAGGCTGTGAAATTGTGACTTGCTGAAGGTCACCCAATGGGTCCAACTATCAAACCACTAAACAACAGTGGTTCCTTCTAATCATAACAGCATCCTTAGACTGCTGAAGAAACTGCCATGCTGTAAGGAAGAGAACCTGCTGAAAATAATTGAATTAAAGCGGTGAACCAATACATCCCCCAATAATTTACCAATGGAAACAGTGATACATTTATAATACCCCTTGTTTTCACTGCAAAATCACTGCCCACTACCTCTACAAAACACATAGCATATAGATTTTCACAGTAGCAACTGCATTAAATCTGTTGCAATAGAATCAGTAATGTATTGTGCCCCATTTTTTAAAGATTAACAAAGTTATTGTGACATAGATTTTCATGGTTCAGACCCACTTCAGAGGTATGCAACTATGATGATCTTTGTGGAATACTGACTGGAAAAATTAGTTTGGATGACAACTTACAGAATCTTCCAGACTTTGGCGATACTGGCCTGAGGACTTTTGGAAGCTGTAGTCCCAAAAAGCAATGTATTCTGAACACTTTGTAGATTTGCAAATGCAGGGTAACAGGCAAATATAGATCTATGGAACGACTGGACAATGTGAACTGAAAAATTATTTTAGTAAGGAGATGCTGAGGATTTATGTTTTTATTGGTTTTGTGTGTTTTTATATTATTGCTAAATGTTTCAAAATTGTATTTTATGTTGTTGGGGGCATCGAATTGTGCTGACTGTAAACCGCCTTGAAGTGCCTTCGGGCTGAGCAAGGTGGTATATAAATACGGTAAATGAATGGATCATTCAAAGAAGAACACCTTGGTCCCTTACCTGATCACAGATCAACTCCCATTTCTTTTCATTGTCATACTGGCTCAATAACTTCATTTTGTCTGGTGGCAAGTTCATAGAATTCTATAGGACAAGAAGAAAGAGGGAAAATTATTACATAGGCAATGGCCATAACATTGCAGTCCTTTCTAACATGTACTTAAAATCTATTAACAACAGAAGAAAAAGAGAGTGCTATGTAGGATATAGCTCATGATAGGTGAGAGGAAAGGCGCTTACTGGTATTTTATTTGTTTTTGCTTTAAAAAGAAAGAGTGCTTCTGTTTTAGTCATTTCATGCAACACTGACACTATCTGCTAACACATTTATTCCACAGAATTGAGATATGTCTCCCAAACCTTTGTCAGCTGTCTTGATTTATTTCAGAAGTAAACCCGTTTTTTAAAATCCTCATTTGCAGCCATTCTGGAGTTTCTGTGACAATTGTTAGCAAAGCTCTTTCATATGTAAATGGCCTTAGCACTGTGCTTTGTTTTGGAAGCACAGCTTGTGAAGTGGTTGGCAAAGGTATATAAGTGAGTCTGCTTCTTTCAGTTCATTACTTATCCACACTATGAGCATCACCATTTCTTAACTGCTCCAAGGGGAACTACATCTTTATTCTTGTTGTTGTTTATTTGTTCAGTTGCTTCCGACTCTTCATGACCTCATGGACCAGCCCACGCCAGAGCTCCCTGTCGGATGTCACCACCTACAGCTCCTTCAGAGTCAAGCCAGTCACTTCAAGGATACCATCCATCCATCTTGCTATTGGTCGTCCCCTCTTCCTTTTTCCTTCCATTTCCCCCAGCATAATTGTCTTCTTTAAGCTTTCCTGTCTCCTCATGATGTTACCAAAGTACTTCAACTTTGTCTCTAATATCCTTCCCTCCAATGAGCAGTCGGGCTTTATTTCCTGAAGTATGGACTGGTTGGATCTTCTTGCTGTCCAAGGCACTCTCAGAACTTTCCTCCAACACCACAGTTCAAAAGCATCTATCTTCCTTCGCTCAGCCTTCCCTATGGTCCAGCTCTCACATCCGTAGGTGACAATGGGGAATACCATTGCTTTAACTATGTGGATCTTCATTGCCAGTGTGATGTCTCTACTCCTCACTATTTTATGGAGATTAGTCATTGCACTCCTCCCAAGAAGTAGACATCTTCTGATTTCCTGGCTGCAGTCTGCGTCTGCAGTAATCTTTGCACCTAGAAATACAAAGACTGTCACTGCCTCCATGTTTTCTCCCTCTATTTGCCAGTTATCAACCATATTGCCATAATCTTGGTTTTTTGATGTTTAACTGCAACCCACCTTTTGCACTTTCTTCTTTCACCTTGATTAGAAGGCTTCTCAGTTCCTCCTCGCTTTCGGCCATCAAAGTGCTATCATCTGCATATCTAAGGTTGTTGATGTTTCTTCCGGCAATTTTAACCCCAGCCTTGAATTCTTCAAATCTATCCTTCTTCAAATTCTTAAAATTATATTCCTCAAATATATCCTCCTTGTTGTTCCATCAATGTTTAAAAAGAATTTGATAGGAACTTAAGATTTTGGTGGCTGGCACTATGTACTAGAGCTCATGTCACTGTATTTGTGTTGATTATCCAGCAATTCAAAATATTTTTATCCAAATATGCCTGGGTATTAGTCATTTTATTTCCTGTTGCTCTGCAGTTTGATCCACATATTAATTCAATTCTTAAAATCATAATCTTCACATCTTAAACTGATTTTTAAATATAAAATCTCAATAACTTGCATACAAAGTTGATTTAATTTAATTATACATTTATTGTTTGTCAACTTGACCAGTCCACATAAGAAACTAGGATATAATTTTCCCATTCCCTCCCAACTGTGAGCATGCCATAGCTAATGAGTATACTCAGTCCTTATTGAGCTGTTTTGGGTGTTTTCCCCATTGTAAGGATCCCCCCCGCCTAAAAATATGTGTATTTTCCCCAAATCCTACTGATTCTTCTCTCTTGTGCATGGATGGCAACATTTTATCTACATAAGCAATGATACTTGCGTCTACACATCTAAATTGTATGTTCTTAAAGCATACACAAAACCATACAGTATTGAGACACATTTGAATATCAAAGTACCACTATTTAGAGATTATCTGATGGTCTATGCTATACTGATTCGTTGCAAGAAGAATGTTATACAAACTGGGTTGATTGGCTGGCCCCTGTGGTCCCCTCCAATTCTATGATTCTTTGACTGCACTGTTCATTTGGACGATTGCTTAATTTTAGACATTTGTCTGAAATGATTTGAGAAAGGGCAGTGCATCTGTTATAGAGAGGATTATATCCTCCTTTTGAGCTTTCCAAAGGCAACTGTTTGGCCACTGTGTGAGCAGAATAGCTGGGCTGGGTAAACCTGTAGAGTCATGTAGTAAAACTCTCCTTCTCCTTCTACAGGTTGAATCTCAATTAGAAATCTGAAATATTCCAGAATCTAAAATTATGCATATGGGTGATTGAAATATTGACACCCTTGCTTTCTGATAGTTCCATGTACACAAATTTTGTTTTGTGCACAACATTGCTAAAAACATGGTGTATAAAATCATCTTCAGGCAAGATGTAGAAGGAGTATAGGAGACATACATACTTATTTTGTTTAAGCTATGCTGTACACTTGATCTTAGCCAAAAAGACACAAATTGGGTGTTTAGACCTGGGTCATAACTCCAAGATGTCCATTATGTATATGCAAATATTGCAAAACCTAGGTTGTTGTAGGTTTTTTCGGGCTATATGGCCATGTTCTAGATGCAATGCTTCTAGAACATGGCCATATAGCCCCTAAACCTACAACAACCTAGTGATTCCGGCCACAAAAGCCTTCGACAATATATTGCAAAGCCTCAAGATATTTAACACATTTCTATTCCCAAGTATTTCAGATTAGAGATACTAATGCTGTACTAACAGTTTTCTGACTAAAAGGAACCAAGTGTAAGGTTCAACAGGTCACTTAATTTACAGAGAAAACACAAAAGGTGTGTATGAATGTATTTTCCTTGTGTGTATATTGTAAGTGGAAGGAATTTTAAGAATGTAGGAAGGCCTCCATTCATCTCACTTAGAAACCACCAATAAAATGCAAAGTTATTTCTAATGCTGCTAAACACCAAGAGCCATGAAAAATGACATAGAGTACAACCCCAGTATCCACAATACCGGTATCAGCAGTTTCATTTATCCACAACCAACAAAATACATCTTTCCTGTGCATTTTTTTTGGGTCCTTCAGAGTGATTGCATCATATTCTTGAGCCAAAGGTCCTTCATTTCAATATGGTTTACTCTTATCTACTGTTTCACATATCCACACAGAGTCTGGGAACATATCCTCCTGGCATAGGAGGATTGTACTGTTGTATTCCGAAAATGTGTCAGGATTTTTAAGCTGCTTCATCTCCCTTTTATCTCTGACCGACCATTAATATAGCTACTGTCATAAGAACAGTATAGTGTGATGTTTGGAAAGTCTGACTAGGAGATCCAGATTATAATCTCTCCAGAGCCAGGAATTTCACTAGGAGGCCATGGGCCAGTCACTTGCTTACAGCCTGACCTACTACATAGGGTTGTCATTGTGGTCATAAAGGGAGGAGGAGAATCATGTGCTCTGTCTTGAGTCTCTGGACCAAAGGTGGACAGAAATGTAACAAAAAATGAATAAATGTAAACAACTCTTTCTGAGTACAAACATCAATCAGAGTCAAATGCAACTGTTACAAACACTACCCAGAGATTTCCCTTGTATCCACCACTACCATCAACAAATTACCTATTCTATTACTTATCATCTGAGCAGTCGCATTCTCCCCTTACTGTATGGCATGCTCTAACAACAGATTGGGAACTACAATTTTTAACAACAGGAGAAGGAGGAAGGATTCAAAGGGAGGAATAAAACACGCAACAAAATTGTGACTTCTTTTCAATCCAGATTTAAAGATACAATATGATACCACTGTTGCAACCTGAAATGCTACTAAACAAAGCCAAACCTTGTGTTGGACTAATTTGCTGGAGTGATACAATCTTACATTACTTTCCTTGGACTAATTTACTATACAAGCTGCTCTACGTAACTTGAGTTATGCTACTCAGGAGACTCAAAGCATGTTGTTCCTAAGCCATAATTTCCTAATAACATGAATACTCGTGGGTGTTATGTTTCCCTCTTTGCTATGACATACTGGAATAAAAAGGAACACCTTGGCTCCTTGTGACCAAGAGGTCTGCTTGCTTGGATGAAATCAGCATATATTTAGAGGAGATTTTCTCAGTAGGAGGAAGTTGCATGCCACCCATGTGCTAGGCACTTGTAACCACAGTTGCTCAACCCGATCCTTCCCCACTTCCCCTATGAACGGTGGTAGTTTAGAACTCATTACAGGCAGAAGAAATAAAACAGGATCAAGATTGTATTCGGGCCCATTTTGCAGATCTGCTCATTTGTCATGTGCAGGATTTCTTCTTTTTTCAATCACAAACAACATCAAACTATGGAAACTTTTTTTGGTTACTCTATAGCTAATATCAGTATCCATGCGTACTGATTAAACTTTTGCCCACTTGATGATACAGACTTGCCAAATCCTCTATTTTAAATAGGAGGCATCTGCGTTGACTCCCAGTTTTACCCATTATCCTGATCGATTTTACATTCCTTGAACAGTACCATCTTCAAAGTAAGCTAACAGCAGATCTAAAGAAAGTGACAACATTTGACTTATTTTTTATGGAACTGAAATTGATATATCAGAAGCAGAACACCTTGCAGATAGTGGGATGGTTTCCAGATTCCAAATTGGGCTAAACCTAAGGACTGGGGAGCCACTGTGAGCCAATTTCCAGGCTCCATCCTAGATATGTGACGCAAATGGAAACTGTGATGTAGGACACTGAAAATGACTTAGTGGTACAGCAGAAGCAACAGGAATACATTCTTGCTGTCCAGTTTCTGGTGCAGGCCATCTCTACCCCAGAATCAGATCTGAAGTCAGACTGAAAGTAAATCTAGACAGTCCTTCTCTTTCTAAGAAACTCT